CCATACTGGGCAACGCGTGGCACCACCTAGGGCGGACCTCCTCTCCCGGATCAGTACGCTCCTGACACATCAGAACCAATGCAAGAAGAGTCAGAGGAAGAGGTAACTTATGAATTCTTCAGGGGAGCAGCAGAATTACCAGAACCTACCGAGGCACCGAATACAGTTACTTCAGAATTCCCATGAAAGGACTTCCTGTCGCCGACTGGCCCAAGGCACCACCATCTCAGTATCTTCTTGTCACCGGCGAGCAAGTTCACGCCGGCGACACCGACGACATCATCGGAATTCCCCGCGCGCTTCTGGAACGGGACTCCATTCGGGCCTTCTCAACCGACACTGACGCCGCCACCGACATAGGACCTGAAAAAGAGCAGAACGACGCAGCAGAGAGGAACAAATACTATCAGAAGACAGTCGGGTACCGTGCGGAACCGGAAACATGACACCAGCGACTCGGACACCCCTCGCACATCACGCTCAAGTATTCTCTCAAGGCCGGAGTCTTCGACGACGACGCGCTGCTTCTTCCTCGAGGAGGCTCCCTCACAGCAGAATCGGCTGACTCGCCCTGCACCGTGTGCCCAACGGCATCACTCATCCACAAACCTTTTCCGTACAAGCCGCTGGAGAAAGTCTACAGCGACTTCATGGTTTTCAGTTAAGACGGGCTCGACGGTGAATCTTACACCCTTACCTTCATCGACGCATGCACACGCTACGTCTGGGCCATCAACACCGACTACCGCTCTCTTGCCTTTGAATGCTTCGTGGCATGGATGAAGCGGGCTGAACGTCAGTCTGGACTGAAGCTGAAAACCTACCAGATAGACGGGGGTTTTGAGTTCTTCTCAACTGAGTTCAAAGAACTCTTCAAGTAGAAGGGGATTGAGCACCTGGTGTCCCTGCCCTACGCTCACGAGCAGCAAGGCGTAGCAGAACGGACAAACAGGAGCCTTGCCACCAGGATGAGGGCCCTGATGAAGCAGTCGGCCGTCCCAACCAAGTACTGGCCATTTGCGATGAACCACGCTGTCCGGCTGCACAACTTGCTGTCGTCCCGAAGCCTCGAGAACAACAATTCTCCCTACATGGCTTTGACGGGCAGAAAGGCAGACACGCGTCTGCTTCGGGTGTTCGGCTGCATGGTACAGTACAGGCCACACACAGCAAGGACCGGAAAATTTGCTGACCGAGCACGCTGGGGCATCCACCTCGGAATCGAAAAAGAATACAAGGCGTGGATCGTGCTGGACTACGCGACACACGAAGTTGCAAAATCACGTGACTGCATCTTCTACGAGAAGCTGACTCTGCCACTGTTCAAGGAGCACCGCGAAGCTGACAAGGCACCGGAAAGGGTTTTTGAGGGACATCGCAGCTTTGCAACTCCACACGATGAAGCTGACCTGGCGGAAGATGCTGATGCAGCAGATGTCACCCAATTTGACAGCGCACCCAACATCCCCCTTACAAGCCCATTCCAGACTCCAACATTCATTCCTGTACACCAATTCGATCCCGACGATACAACTCACGAAGCCCACAACTACAACAGCACAGCGCGCCGATCACCTGATGCCGAGTTACCACCTCCAAACACCTCGCAAGACACCCTCCGCCTCGGCAACGACAGCAACGACGATGTCGTCGAAGTAACCAGCTTCCACGACTACGATCGCCTTCACTACGAGAAGACCAACAAAACTGGTCTCCGCATCCTTGGGCTCGCCGGAGCTGTTCGTCACACCTCCCCCAAGGAACCACCACCGTTCGCCAGGCCTTGTCTAGCCCCGACAGTGAGAAATGGAAGGCAGCCATGGCCGCAGAAGTCGCAACACTCAAGAGCCGCGAAACGTGGAAGCTGGTTCCACGATCATCAGCGAAGGGGAGGAAATTTCTCAGCGGCAAATGGGTCTTCCGAATCAAAACACTTGCAGACGGCTCCATCGACAAGTACAGAGCAAGATGGGTGGTGCGCGGGTTCAAGCAAACTCACATGGTGGACTTTGACCTCACCTACGCACCTGTCGGGCGACACACCTCGGTGCGCATCCTCATCTGCATCGCAACCGTCAAGCAGCAGCCACTCCGTCAAATCGACGTCGGCAGTGCATTCCTGTACGCCCCCGTCGACGCCATCATCTTCGTTGAGCAGCCGCATGCCTTCGAGGAGAGCGACGGCGCCGCCTGCCTTCTTCAAAAATCCCTCTATGGGATTAAGCAGGCACCTCGGCTATGGCAGCAGTACCTGCACACCAACCTCACGGAGCTCGGATTCAAGCAACTACCGCACGACCTTGGAATGTACCGGAAGGAGTCGCGCGGCAAGTTCATTCTTCTCGTCGCCTACGTCGACGATCTCCTCTACACCGGCGACGACACGGAGCTGCTAGATCGGCTTGAGGCGGATATCAAAGAGAAGCTTGAAGTGACCATCAACCACAACGTCACTCAATTTTTGGGCCTCAACATCACCCAATCCGCCACCTCCATCCACCTCTCCGCCGCTAAATACGCGGAAACACTAGCGAAGAAATTCGTTGTCGCCCCGATTAATCTCACCACCCCCTTCCGCACTCCTCCTCCCAACCACGAACACGACACAACACCGCTCTCTATCGAGGACCATCGACTTTATCAGCAGCAGCTGGGGTGTCTCCTGTTCGCCGCCGTCACGTGCCGGCCCGATCTCTCGTACGTCGCAAGCCAGCTCGCACAGTACCTGAAGCGACTTGAAGGGGAGAATTTACTGGATCTACGCCGAGCACTCCAATACTTCGTTTCTACCCCTGACGTCGGACTCACCTACGAAGCTAACCTCACCGCTACTCTACAGCTTCACGGCTACGTTGACGCAGACCACGCGGGAGACATTGACAACAGACGCTCCCGTACAGGATTCATTTTTCAACTCCAACCTGCCGGACTCATCTCTTGGAACTCCCAGAAGCAGGAGCTCATTGCACTTTCGTCAGCCGAAGCTGAGTTCATTGCCGCCAGCGCAGCTGTTCGCGAAGAACTGTACATGATGGAGCTCCTACAGGAAGCGAAAGTGACGATGAACAGGCACTTCACGTTACTCTGCGACAACCAGAGCGCGATCAAGATCGCGAACAAGCCCGGCTTCGTGAACCGCACGAAACACATCGCACTCCGTTACTTCTTCGTCAAGGACGAGATCGACAAGGGCAAGGTCAAACTCACGTATTGCCCAACCGGTGACATGACAGCAGATTTCTTGACCAAGAAACTGCCACGTCAGAAGTTTCAGCACTGCACCGACCTCTGCGGGATCTCGAAAAAATCCCACGTGGCTCACCTTCAGGAATGAAGGGGAGTGTTGGAATAAACGAAAGGTTATCATAACATTCCCGAAGGCTCTCCACTCGCGCGTCACTCCATAGCGAAACAACGCGCCTGTATCAGTATCGCAATAGCTCATATAGAGCATGTGGAAGGTCGAGGGTCACCCGAAGGTCAACAGTCGAAGACAGTCAACGGTCGTGACCCTTGACTGCCCAGTAACCGCACTTGGTAGTTACGCGCTGCAACATGGTAACTGTCAAGAATAGCAATAGTCGTGGTTACTGTAGCAATGCAATTCGGTTAATAAGGGAATGTACCCCTCAGGGTACATGGCTAGCTAGGATTGCTATTTATTCCTTGTATCACTATCCTTTAACCATCTTGTTCTCTTCGATCTTATTGACAAGGTCATTCAAAGACTTCATAGTCTTTCCTTAACTTAGCAGCCTTATTCTGTCCACTACGATCCTTCAGTTATAACAACATAAAGGGTCCAACATTATTATCTGATTAGCAAGAGGAATATATTCTCACAAGATAACGTGGGTCTTAGCAGCCCCGCAGCTAAGACACAATCACATTAATCTTATATGGATGATGCCTAACATAGAGGAATCTGCAACCCGAGGCGAACAACGGAACTCCAGGGCGACGGGGGGGAGTGGACAGCAACCAGGGGATGGAAGCGCCCGTCGGAATCTGGCCCCAAGAGACCCAGAGAGACGACACTATACTCACAACACCCACGTCTCTGTCATCAAAGTCACGAGCTTTGCCCCTTAGGCACGCCCAGCAAAGGACAACGGTGCGGATCACTTTTGACAGAGGTGAGGACGGAGGCACACACTGAAGACACTCCGGGCAGTCCCGTAGCCGGCAGCAACAATTGTCCCAATCAAGGCGAGGCGGTCACAGAAGAGGGCGAACATGTCCGCGGGGAGCTTAGGCAGGGCATCGCCCCTGATGCGGCGATGGCGGTATGGGAAGCACACCGCCGGCGTTTGCAGGAGACACACGACAGGCGTCGACATGCTCTCGGCACTCCGTTCGCAGGCTCTGCCCTCACCAAACCCGACACCCCAGCCCCGCGCGGCCCACGTTTGGCCCAACGGCAGGAACGGAGGCGCACGCCCGGAGCCCTGCAGGAGAGACCCTGTGCGATGCTGGCCGGAGGGGAGCTGGAGCCGCGGCCGGGAGGGCGGCACGGGCGGTCAGGGGTGCAGCATGTGAGCCTGGAGGAGGTCCAGCCGCAGCCGCCGGCGAAAGGGCAGTGGGGGCGGTGAGACGAGACGTGACATAAACCGCGGAGAAGGGGGGAGCACGGGAGTCAGGCGGGGAGCCAGCTCCAACTGCCGGCAAGGGGCCGGCAGAACCCCCGGCGGGGAGGGCTCCAGTTGTTGCAAGCGGGGGAGCAGCAGGAGCCGGAGGCTGGGGGACAGCCGGAGCTGCAGGCCGGGGGGCAGCAGGAGCTGCAGGCTGGGGGGCAGCAGGAGCTGCAGGCTGGGGGGCAGCGGGAGCTGCAAACTGGGGGGTAGCAGGAGTTGGCTGGAGGGCAGCAGGCGTTGGAGGCGGAGATGGAGGTGGAGCAGCGGACCGGGGAGCAGCAGGAGCTGCAGGCCGCGGGGCAGCGGAAGCTGCAAGCTGGGGGGCAGCAGGAGTCGGCTGGAGGGCAGCAGGCGTTGGAGGCGGAGATGGAGGTGGAGCAGGGGACCGGGGAGCAGCAGGAGCTGCAGGCTGGGGGGCAGCAGGAGCTGCAAACTGAGGGGCAGCAGCAGGCCGGGGGGCTGCAGGATCTGGAAGGGGAGCTGGAGGGGCCACAAGAGGAGCTGCCGGTGGGCGTGCATGACGGGAGTCAAACAGGGAATCAGCCCCAGCTGCAGGCAGGGGGGCAGCAAGGGCGTCATGAGGGGAACCAGCCCTTGCCTGGAAGCGTACAACAGGGGTTGCCGATGAGTGAGTCGCAGGAGTCGCAGGCGCAGGGTCAGCAGGGGGTCACGAGCCCGGGTGGCACAGGCCAAGCGGAACGGCCGCGGGCACGGCGCCGAAGGGGGCGACGACAGGGAGGGCAGAGGGCTGGGGGCCAGCCGGGGGTGACAGGAGCACCCGAGGGAGTGCAGCAGCCAGGGGGGCAGTCGGGGGCGACCGGAGCACCCGAGGGAGTGCAGCAGCCAGGGGGGCAGCCGGGGGCGACCGGAGCACCCGAGGGAGTGCAGCAGCCAGGGGGGCAGCCGGAGGCGACCGGAGCACCCGAAGGAGTGCAGCAGCCAGGGGGGCAGCCGGGGGCGACCGGAGCACCCGAGGGAGTGCAGCAGCCAGGGGGCCAGCCGGGGGCGACCGGAGCACCCGACGGAGTGCAGCAGCCAGGGGGGCAGTCGGGGGCGACCGGAGCACCCGAGGGAGTGCAGCAGCCAGGGGGGCAGCCGGGGGCGACCGGAGCACCCGAGGGAGTGCAGCAGCCAGGGGGGCAGCCGGAGGCGACCGGAGCACCCGAGGGAGTGCAGCAGCCAGGGGGGCAGCTGGGGGCGACCGGAGCACCCGAGGGAGGGCAGCAGCCAGGGGAGCAGCCGGGGATGACCGGAGCACCCGAGGGAGCGCAGCAGTCTGGAGGGCAGTTGATGGACGACCAGGGGCAGCAGTGGGAGGAGTGGTGCCGACTGTTGGAGTTTGATACCCCCATGGCGATTGCGGAGGAGTCGGAGGCGGACGGAGAGCCTCCCAGGCCGCCTTCGCCATGCCCCCGTTTTCCGTGTGACACGTGTTTTCACACGTTCGCTACGCGAGGGGCCGCCGCGAACCACATGAGGGTCTGCCGGGCAGCTGAGGTGGAGAGGCGCGCGCAGGCTCTCGGCTCGATCCCGTCTCTGGTGGAGACCGACACGCAGGAGCGACCGACGCCGCGGAAATTTGGGGACGAGGTGTGGGTCGGGGTTACGTCATGGGAATGGGAAGCATTTTTCAGTGTGGAGGCAGTTGGAGGGAGGACAGTGCCCCGGATCCCACAGCGGGCTCGGTCGGGGGTTTTAGACGCGCTCTATTGCATCTTAAAGCGTTTGAAGAGCCGACCGGGGGATGAAGCCGCTACCCTCCTACTCTTGGCGTTTCCGCGCCTCATCCTAGCGGTGCCTCCCAAGCCAGGCATAGGTCAGAAGGTGCTGATCACTGAGCGTCTGGGGGCGTTCTGGGAGGGGAGGTGGCGGGAGCTGTTCGACTCTGCCATGGTAGCGGCGCGGCCAGCAGTTCGCCCACTTGCCTACACTTGCTCTGACCAGGACCCTGATGCCATCCACCTGTCACGTTGCCGATCTCGGTGTAAAGTGGGGGAGTGGAGCCGTGGATTGGCTTGCCTTATGGCAGGGGAGTTGGCTCGACCGTCTGAGGCCATGGTGCAGTCGCTGCGAGAGAAGCACCCTACTAGCACCGGCGAGGTACCAGAGTGGGTCCGTGATTTCACCGTCGATGCTCCTCAGCGGCCTCCACTCACGACCGACATCCTAGCCCGAGCTATCCATACAGCCGCTCGAGCTTCAGCAGCAGGGCCCTCGGGGTGGGTCACGGAGCATCTGCGCGACACCTTCCTCACTGAACCTTCCTGCCTTCCCCACCTGTTGGAAGTGTTCAACCAATGGGTGGCGGGACAGGTCCCCGAGCGGGCTCGGCCCTGGCTTGCCGCATCCAACCTAGTTGGGCTTTCCAAGCCTAACGGCGACGTCCGGCCAGTGGCTATTGGGGAGGTGCTTCCGCGTATCCTTGCTCGAGCTCTCTACATCTCGCTCCGCCCGGCGATGGCTTCCTACTTTCTGCCGTGCAACCAGCTGGGAGCGGGCACCAGGGCGGGGGTGGAGATTCTCACTCATTCTTTCCGGTCAGCGCTGGCCACTCACCCCGAGTGGTGTGCGCTGCAGATAGACGTCGCAAACGCCTTCAATTCGTTTCACCGCCATACGATGTTCGAGGGGTTGCGGGAGTCGCCTTTCTCAGGATTGATCCCATTCTTGGGTGTTTTTTATGGGACACCAAGCGACCTGTACCTCCGAGCGGGTCCCTTCGTACAGAGCCTCGCGTCGGCACGGGGATCGCGGCAGGGGGACCCGCTCGGCCCTTTCCTTTTTGCGTTCACGCAGCAGCAGGTGATGGAGCCGGTTACTAGAGAGTTCAGGGACATACTTTTCCTTAGTTATGCGGACGACACCTATATCTTGGGACCACCGGCTAGGATTCTAGAGGCTTTTGGGGTGCTGCGGGAGCGGTTGGAGTGGGTGGGGCTGGAGGTGCAGGCGCACAAGTGCCGGTTTTAGGAGCGCGAAGACGTGGATGCGGAGAGGGCACTGCCGTTGGGGATGCAGCGGGTGGAGGAGGGCCTCACTGTGGTGGGTGTGCCTATTGGGGAGGAGGATTGGGAGGTGGTCCGGTTACGGGAGCGGCTTCGACAGCTGCAGGCGCCATTGCCATGGCTCCCCCTGCTCGACCACCCTCAGATGGCTTCACATCTCCTCGCCATTGCAGTTTCAGCGCGGCCGATGTACCTCGCCCGGACTATGTCGCCGCGCCCGGAGGTGGTGGAGGCCTTTAGGGATTGGGACAGCTGTCTGGAAGATTGCTTTGAGCAGCTTTTCCCACCTGGCACTTGGGAGCAGGACCCCGACCGGTCTAGGCGCGCACGCATGCAGCTGCACCTCCCTGTGCGACTCGGAGGGTTTGGGATCCGAGCGGCGGCCTCTCTGAGCCCACTGTCCTATGTTTGTGGGTGGGCGCAGGCCGCGCGCGATATTGCACAGCTAGGGGTGGCGGGTGAGGAGACGATGTTTGCAGAGTACCTCAGCACTTCGACAGGGGCAGAGTTTCTTGACCCGTGGTTTGCTAAGGCTCTCGAGCAGCTGCCTGCGACTATACGCCAGGAGATGCCGGGCTTACCTCTGTGCGTAGCGGCCCCTCCTCTTCGGCTTTTCCAGGCGCGACAGCGGCAATTGGCTGTAGAGGAGCTTGGGGAACTGCGCCGCATGGCCCGTGACGATGCCACCCTGGCCCGTTTCACATCCCTTCAGGGCCCGGGGGCTGGTGCATGGGTTACGTCGGTCCCAGCTCACTCAGACCTCACATTCACCGCGGCTGAGTGGGGCATTGCTGCTGCTATACGGCTTGGGCTCCCAATTCAGCAACTGCAGGTGGCAGGGCGGTGTGTTTGTGGCACAGCGTATGTTGACCCAGCGGACCCGCATCATGCCCTGAGATGCAGACACCAGCACGGTCCATCTCGGGTGCATGACGAGGTGAAGTTTGCGGTGGCGAGGATTTCTAAAGCGTCAGGGGGGTTGTGACAATGGAGGATAGTGTGGTGCTGCCGGGGAAGCGGGTTGACGTAGCGGTGCGACGACCAATGGCCGGAGAGGCTCACGCTCTGGAGATTAGCGTCGCGGACCCGCTATCGCTGTCTCCATCTTTGCTAGGGCAGTGCGGGCGTTCCATAGGAGTGGCGGCACGGGAGTGGGAGCGTCGCAAAACGAGTGATTACGCGCCTCTACTCGCACGCAATCGGGGCGTGCAGTTCACCCCTCTGATAGTGGAGACGTGGGGGTGTCTCGGTGGCCGTTTCCGGCGGTGGCTTCGACAGCAAGGGGACGCGCACTTGGGGCTAGCTGTGTCACGGGGGGCTTGTCGGGAGGATGACACTTCGTTTTCAGCTTACCTTTTGGGGTCTCTGAAGGCGCTTGTTGGGGTGGCGTTACAACGGGCGCAAGCCCGTGTCATCCTGCTTCGTGCGGCGTCTTCCATGGGGAGGAATCTGCAACCTTTGGTTGATAATGGCTCGTTTGTGAGAGTTTGGAAATAAAATTTGTTTGATAATCACAAAATAAAATTACGTACAGTCACGACGATTCCCCTCTCCATCCCCTGATATTTACTTGTGTAGTCGAATCGTGGTGGATGAAGCAGCGCGCCGTTGCGTTGGAAGCCCGCGATTCGCTGGGCTTTAGGGCTGCTCAAACGTATCTGGTCGAATTCCAATGCTGACTGTAAATCTGGCCTTGCCATGTGGTAACTCTCTGCACCTTCTGACGAAGAATTCGTTATGGGCGATTGCTTCTCCCGTGGTTGTATATTGGCCCTCATTTTGTCGCACTGTTCCAGCCGCCAAGGACTGCGAACCAGGTGAAATCCCAGACACCGACACGGTCGCGTCGCCAGCCTATATCCTTGGGCTCTTGCCATCAGCAGCCGCAAGTTCCACGTCACTAGGTTGTCGCACACGGTAAAACAGTTCGCTACGCCACCCAAGCCGCCTCTTCGCCCCCCACCTCACCCTGGGTTCTTATCTGTTGGGCGAACCAGTCTCGTCCAACCATACGATCTCGACCCCCTTTTCATCTTATCCGACCGTCCAAAATCACTCAGCTCAGCCTAGACATCCCACGCAGCCGAACCTGGAGAACAACCACCGAAGCAGCCATGGCATGCTCGGTTCGGCAGCAGTCTCGGAACGAAGGTCACTCTGTCCTTGGGAAGCTCGCGTGATTGCTGGGCCGAGATGGAGTGTTTTGGTAGGCCCGAGGCCTGGTATGGAATCCTGACGGTTTGGTAACTCCCAAGGTCAGGTTTGAAAAGCCTAGGTATTTGCAGTCTTCAGGTGTGAGAGGCAAGGTGCAGGTTCGTTCTTCCCAGGTCTGGTAAGTCCAAGTTCTGGTTTGGAAACCCAGGGCCTAGGTAGGTATTTGCCTAGCCCAGGTAACACCAAGGTGCTAGAGGCCTGAAATGTGAAGCAAAGCCCAGGGTCGTTCTTCCCTCCCAGCCCGAGGATAAACGCCATAGAATGCAGCGAATGCAATAATTCGTTGTGCTTCATGCAAGTCCAAACGATGTTTTAGCTGCTCTGCACCTGCTTCCTCGCTCACAACGCACCACGCGAGCCGTGAGTTAGGGGTAGGCTGCCAGGTTTAATCTCTCATCTAAAACACATGTAAATTTTAGTCCGCCTTATTGAGTGTTTGTTGCATAAGCGCAGCTGTTACCAGCTGTTGTCCTGTAGCGCAATATTCCATTCGTGTATGATACCTCGTAGCATTGTCTCTCCCCTTCGGCCTCACTAGTTCCTCTGACGCCATGGTACGAGTCGCCAGCGCTGATTCTGAATAAAAATCGGGAAACACGAGCAGGTACGAGTATATTCCATCCGTTCGGCAATATGGCCTCCTCCGGTAACCCTCACCAAGCAGACCAGTCTAACTCCTCGCGTCCACTTTCCCACGCCGACGGCCAATTTAAATCGTGTCAAACGCTCGGCGCCGCTTCTTCCAGCCCCGGCGAATCGCAGGCAATGTCGACGCCATGGCCGTGCTCTGCGTCGGACCATTTCATCCAAATCGCCGCCAACTCGCCCGAGAAAAAAACCCAGGGGTTGACATCTGAGCCCGATGTTGCGTCGCCGCTCCCGCCGCTTCCTCCGCCAACAGCAGCGTCGCCTCTGCAGGGGATGGTTTTAAATTCTGACGTGCCTTGTGTTTCCAACTCTTCATTGCATGGCGTTCCGGGCTCGACCGCGACAGAAGAGCCGCGCATTCAACCGCGGAGTCTCGACGCACCGCAGCTTTCCGCGGCTGGCGGAGGCGCAAGAGGACGAGCGCAACAAGCTTCCGCGCCGGCGGAGGCGCAAGCGGATTTCCGCGTGTTCCTCCGCCCGTTCGCCTCTCCACCACCCGTGCGTCTGGACGTGGATGGCGAGGGCGGGTTTGTGCAACTTCTCGCGTCCGCGGATTCCGCCGTTTCTTCCGCCATTCCCTCTACCTTCGCACTGGACGCGCAGTCCGCGGAGCGGAGAACTGAGTTCGGCGCTCTTCCGTCGCGCAGCTCCCCAATCGGGGGGATTCCGGGGAGCGGAGAGCGCTGGCGCACAGCTGCGAGGGTTGCGGGGAGCAGAGAGGGCTGGGGGGCTCGAAGAGACTTCTTGGAAAGTGCGGTGAATGGATTTTGGACTGGGGAAGGCGGAGAGGAAGGGGAAGCGGAAGAGGATGAGGTTCTGCTTCTTTCTCAAGGTTTAGAACAGCAGCGGACGGGGCGTTACCCGCAGAGCGAGGAATATCTGCGTCACCCGTATCACCCACGTCATCCGTATCACCCGCATCACCCGCATCACCTGCAGCAGCCGCAACAGCAGCAGGGGTTGGGATCATCATCGCTTGGTGACTGGGGAGAGCAGCTGCCGCGCCGGCCGTCAAGACCTAACGTGCAGGCTGCCGGCCGTTCCCGATTCGCCGGCCGGCGCGTTCGCACGAGCCCGCTGAACTCGGGTCTCTGGGTGGCTGCGGAGTTTGTCTTTATCCTAGGTCAAATCCTGGCGACGGCGTTTATTGTCTTCGCGTCGATGGATGAAAAACCGCCTGTGCCCTTGCGAGCGTGGGTGCTGGGATACGCGGTAGGGTGTGTCCTGTTACTGCCACTGTTGTACTGGAGGTACACGCATAGATACACCCGCCATCACTCGCGGACTGCTGAGGCTTACGTGGACCCTCCGATCCGTCAGATGTCCGGTCAGCAATCGCGGCAAAGTGGGTTTGCGGAGCAGCGGCAACGGGAAGAGGAGTATAGGCAGCGCTTTGAAATGCTGTCGCGCTTGCAGCTGCAGCAGCAGCAGGAGCATCAGCAGCAGCAGCAGCAGCAGCAGCAACAGCGGCAGCAGCAGCGGCAGCAGCAGCATCAAGAACAGCAGCAGCACCACCACGAGCAGCAGCAGCAGCGCGAGCAACAGCATAATGATTCCCCCCCATCACCGTCCATTTCCCCATTTCCTTGTTCTTCCCCGTCGCACACGCCACAAGAATCAACCAATAACATTGCGCCACGTGTCTCGGCCCAGTCTCCGCTGCTTGAGCTCGCATGCGCCTGTCCGCATCCCCTTGCGCATGCGTCAGCAAGGGCGCAGCAGCCGCCCGTTGCAGCAGAGGAGGCTGTAGCGGGGCAGTTTGTAGCGGGACAGGCTGTCGCGGGGCAGGCTGCGGCGGGACAGCTTGTAACGGGGCAGCTTATAGTGGGGGAGAGAGAGGTCCTTGCGACCAGCGCAGTTGGCAGGGGGGTAGAGGGAAGCGCGGAGGGCACTTGGGGGAGGGCGGGTGGCGCTGGGGGGAATGCGCACTGCGTAGGCGCGAATGGGGGGGGTGCGGGGGGGAGAGACGAGGGCGCGCGGTTCTGGGAGAGCTATGTGGCGGAAAGGGCAGTGGCGGCGGGGGAGATGGCGCAGCGGAATTGGGGGGAGGAGGGGAGGGGGTGGTGGGGGTGCATGTGGCGGTTCTTGAATGAGATTGCTGATGATTGGCGGGACGAATCCAGGTGGGTTTCCGTTTGCAGGTACCTTTTCAGGTGCCTTTTCGGGTGTTTTCTCCTCCTCTTTCCTCTCCCCCCAATCATGCGTGTTCCCCGCCCACTTCATTGCCCCCGCTAACCCCCTCCCCCCCCGCTCTCCCTTTCCCCCAACCCCCCTTCCGATTCCCAGGCTCGTGGTGACAGTGGAGCAAAACAAGGTTGCACGGGCCCCACTTCTCAGAAACACCCCCTCCCCCTCCTGCTCATCCCTTCCCCCCCCGCCCCCCGCTTTCCCAGGCTCGTGGTGATGGTGGAGCGATACAAGGTAGCAGTCGACTGCTTCTTTGCAGTTCAGTCAGCCGTTTGTGCTCACTTAGACCTTTCCTCCCTCCCTTCCTTTCCTTCCCCCCCCCTTCCCCTTCCCTTCCCTGTCCTCCCCTTCCTGAACCCCAGGCTCGTGGTGATAGTGGACTGCTCCTTGCTGTTCAGCCAGACCAGCCGCTCACACACTGCCACTCCTCTCTTCCCTCTCCCTTTCTTTCTGAACCCAGACTCATTGTGATGGTGGAACGCTACAAGGTGGCAGTAGACTGTTTCTTGCTGTTCAGTCAGCCCGGTGCTCACACATTGCCACTCCTCTCTTCCCTCTCCCTCACCGAACCCCAGGCTCATTGTAATGGTGGAGAGATACAAGGTTGCAGTAGACTGCTTCTTTGCGGTCTGGTTTGTGCTCACACACTGCCACTCCTCTCTTCCCTCTCCCTCCCTGAACCTCAGGCTTGTGGTGATGGTGGAGCGATACAAGGTCGCAGTGGACTGCTTCTTTGCAGTCTGGTTTGTGCTCGGCAACATCTGGGTCTTTGGTGCCAACTCCGCCGCCCAGGCCGCTCCGATGCTGTACAAGTGAGTGACTATATCGAACATGCTACTACTGAGAAGCGTGCTACTGCTGAGAACCAAGGTTGCTTATTTGGGCTACATTGCAGTCTGGTTCGCGCTCGGCAATATCTGGGTCTTTGGCGCCAACTCCGCCGCCCAGGCCGCCCCGAGACTGTACAAGTGAGTGGTTATGCCAAATGTGCTACTACTGAGGATCAAAATGCCACAAATGAGACCCGTTGCCTGGTTTGTGCTCAGAAATATCTGGTGTTTCTGACGCAGCTGCATATGCTACGCCATGCCCTTTCTGTGCTCTCTGCCTGCCTGCCTTGACCCACTCTTCCCTCCTCCCCCCTCCATTTCCTCGACCAACACCCCGATACTGCCCCATCCTCTCTCCCTCCCCTCTCCCCCCCACCAGTCTGAGCGTGGTGTTTCTGACGCTCAGCTGTGTGAGCTACGCCATGCCCTTCCTCCTCTGCTCTTTGCCCGCCTCACCTCTTCCCCCCACCCCCAACCCCCTCCCCCACCCCCCCCCCTCATCCTCCCAGTCTGAGCGTGGTGTTTCTGACGCTCAGCTGTGTCAGCTACGCTATGCCCTTCCTCCTCTGCTGCTGCCTGCCTTAACCGTCTTGACCCACTCTTCCCTTTATTTCCCTCCCTCCTCACCCTTCTCCCCATCCCCCCCCCCCCCCCTCCCCTCCCCCAGTCTGAGCGTGGTGTTTCTGACGCTCAGCTGTGTGAGCTACGCCATGCCCTTCCTCCTCTGCGCCACCATCTGCTGCTGCCTGCCCTGCATCATCACGCTCATGGGCTTTGATAACGATATCGCCTCCATTTCTCCAGCTTCTAAGGGTGCTGCTCCTGATGAGATTGCCTCACTGCACTGCTTTAAGTATAAGGAGCTTAAGAGGAGGAGGAAGGGGGGGGGTGGGAAGGGGAGCAGCAAGGGGAGTGGTGAGAGCAGAGGTGATGGCGGCGGTGGTGGTGGTGATGGCGATGGTGATGGTAGTGGTAGTGAGGGAATGAAAACGCCTGAACGAAGCCCTGTTAGCAGCAGCAGTGATAGTGGCAGCAGCAGCAGCAGTAGCAGCAGCAGTGGTACCACCACCACCACCAGTGCCAGCACCAGCAGTGCCAGCAGCAGCAGCAGCAGCAGCAGCTCCCCAAGCCTGAGGAGGAACCGGAGGCGATCGCAGCAAGCACTGGCGGCAACCAGAAAGACAGCTGAGACATCTGAGTACGGCCCGATGGCAGTGGGCAGTCAGGAAGAGGAGAGCACACTGAGCGCTAGAGCCTACAGCAGTGCCAGCAGCAGCAGCAGCAGCAGCAGCAGCAGAAGGGGCAGGAGCAGTGAGGTCATTTGCAGCAGTGGTGTGGGTGGGGGGGAGAAGTCGGATAGTGACTCCTCGTCGGAGGAGGTGGGGCTGCTGTGGGCGGGCACGGACAAGGAGCGAGTAGTGCAAGGGGAGGATGCGGTGAGTTGCTCCTCTTACCCCACTTTCTTCTGAACAGTGGTAGTTGTTGTTCTCTTGAGGTGGGGCTGCTGTGGGCCGGCACAGAGAAGGAGCGCGTGGTGCAAGGGGAGGATGCGGTGAGTTGCTCCTCTCCCCCCTTTCTCTCCCTGCCAAGTCAATCCCCACCCGGTCTTGCTCTCCCCACCCGCACCCCCTTCCCCCCCCCCGTCCCTTCCTCCTCCCTCCTCCCTTCCCCTGTTTTTGCTAATGCTCTGCTTCTGCTCTGTCACTTTGCTGTTGTGGGAGTGGTTTGACCGTGGTAGCTGTTCTTATGAGGTGGGGTGGGGGGCTGCTATGGGTGGGGATAGACAAAGTGTGAGTGGTGCTGGGGGAGGGTGTGAGGCAAGTTGATCAACAACACCCAACCCCCTTCCTCCCCCCCCTTCCCATCTTCCTCCCCGCCCACTCCCTCCCCCCCGCCCACTCCCTCTCCCCTCCCCCCCCCCCCCCCCGCCCCACCCCGCCCCCCTCTTCCACCCCTTCCCTCCCAACTTCTCACCCCCGTTACATGGTTACCAGGTGTGCTGCATCTGCCTGGGGCACTACAAGGACGGGACGGAGCTGCGGCAGCTGCCCTGCAGCCACCACTTCCACCAATCCTGTGTTGACACCTGGCTGCGCATCAACGCCAGCTGTCCGCTCTGCAAGGTCGACATCAGTGCGCGGCCCAAGGAGGCTGTGGATCCTGGTGAGGATTTGATCTGATGTGATTAGCTGATGTGATCTTGGCGCTTCATGTTACTAAGGTGTATGTATCGCATACCTTCTGTGGCACATGTGTGTTGTGTTTCATATCACCAAGTACGGTAGTTTTGCATGTGGGTCTGGTTCCGCTCATTTCAACCGTGTCTCCTGTTTCCCCCCTGGTGGATGCTATGTACGTGTGTGTGTGTGCCGTGTTTGTCTCCCTTCGATATTGCAGAGCTAGCAAATGCGTTTGCAGCGGCCTCCTTCGTCTAAGTTCATGCTAACCAGCGTTTCCTTAATTTCTATTTTCATTAGCATTGTGTGTTGTTTTACCCCCTAACGCGTCTGCCGATGATCGGTGTGCTTGTTGTACATTATTGCTTGTGGAAGCTAAAGCTTCCTTTGTTTTTAGCTTATAATATACAACTCTCAGCTGTATAAGACACCAGGTTACAGTCTGAACAGTCATCGTGTAGTTGGTCCCTGAAAGTCACGTTTTCGTTATTCGCAGCCAACGTCGAAAATTCGGCCGCAGTGTCGTCATTTTCAGGGCTAGGGGTTTCCTCCGTCCTGATTGGTTCAGTCATTTCGCATGCCAGGCAACCACAGACTCTCCCGCGCCGTGATTCAAACACATAAGCGAAGATTCTTCCCCCAACCTCAGGGAATGTCACAAATAACGTTCGGTGACATGGGATTCAGTGACGCTGCTGTGCGATTTACAGCGGTTTTGTGTCCACCGTTTTGAACCGCTACTCACCTGTCTGAGCTCTGATTCATGAACTGTTTACAATGCACTGCCTGGACCCATACATGCTGCATCCTGGAACCATTCATGCTTCATCCATGGCGGTCGAAGTGGCTTGGGTATGTTGGTCACTTTCTGACACTGCTCTGCAGAAGACCTGATTTCTAGAAGGCTGGCTTTCTTGCTGTGCTTGTTTTCTTTCTCCTCTTACGATCTCTTTTGTGGTCGTACTAAAAGATCCTATCTCTAATTGTCCCTCCTTATTTGCCGCTTATCATGATTGGCTTAGCGGGATTGGCGAGGATCTTCGTAACACCATTGTCACCGATGCGACACGTTCTAGTTTAAGCGCTTTATGAGAACTCATTTAGGCTGGGGCTTCATGTAAAGAGAAAATGAAGCCCTAAAATTAAGCGCTATTCCTTTCCTAGTTTACACTTACGTCTGTTTAGGGCTTGCATGTAAAAGCTCTTGTTCTGTCGTCCTAGCGGCAGCGAAGCACGTGGACAGCAGCGAACAGCACGGAGCAGCTAAAAAAGACACGGAAATAGCAACACCATTTCCGTCTGCTTTTCTGCATCCACGTGTCCCGTATCGCCGGCGATTAGAGGCGAACCTCAGCTTTCCGGATCTACCGCCGTCATGTACGCTTCGTTTAGTTCCTCCTCGCCACTCGTTTCCGGCTCCACACCGTCTCGTTCCATTTCCCGATGCACGCAGATAAAGCTACCCTCGATTTTTCCTTCGCCAAACACCAAGTATTTTTCAGGATTAGCGTTAAAGCCATTTCCGAAGTCTGTTGCGTGTCGGCTGTTCGAAAGATCATCCTCGTTACTAGTGACTCCGTATTCCGTTACGAAGCCAGTAGCAGGGCTCGCCTCCCTCGTCCTCCAGCCCCCTTCGCACATTCGCCGTCGCATTTCCAGGGGTGCGACGGACGGCGCGACGTCTCAGTTCCCGATTCGCAGATTACACTCCTGCAGCTGTTTCGTCCAAACTTCTTCCAGGGCTTCTGGGAAGTTAAATTCGGTAAGCCGCTTATTCTTAGAAAGGGAAGTAGCCGTGCCAGTTATGCCCTGCCCTGTATTACATGCTTTAAGTTTATTTGTTCAATATCCTTTCTAATGATAATCCTGCATCCGTTCTCTTTCTCCCTTGCGTTGCCTTTCGCGTCCCGCTCTTTCCCTATCCTCATTCTCCCCCTTTTCTCTCGCTCCACTCTTCCTCTCGCAGGCCTCAACAAGGAGCTTTCAAGGGCATGTCTGTTCACATGTCCGCGCAACCGCTCGCGCGATTGACTGCGGAGCTGCCCGCGCAAATGTCCGCGCAAGTGTCCGCGGAACTGACTGCGCAGGTGTCCGCGCAACTGTCCGCGGAAGTGTCCGCGCAAGGGCCTACGTGGGCCCTATCACGGGGTCTTCCGATGCGGAAAACGTGGAGGGGCTCGCCCAGGGGGGTCCGGAAGCGGAAAGGCGCGCGGAATGGGGCAATTTCGGTGAGGGCCACGCTGACCCGAACGTGCCCGCGGAATGGGGGAATTTTGAAGAAAGCCGCGCTGGATCCGACATGCCCGCGGAATGGGGGAATCTGGAACGGAAACGTGAGGGCGCGGAGGCGCAGGCGGATGGGGGAAATCAAGGGGCGGAAGTAGATGGAGTCGAAGCAGCAACCTTAGAATCAGCAGAGCCCGCACATGCAGGAGAATCCGAGCAGTATATCGAACAGCCCATCGCGAGTTCCGCAGGTGCTGCTGCAGTGATAGACGAAGCAGCAGCAGCAACAACAGTACCAGCAGCAGCAGTACCAGCAGCGGCAGTACCAGCAGTTCCAGCAACAGAAGAAGCAGCAGCAGTTCCAGCAGCAGCAGTACCAGCAGTATCAGCAGTCCCAGCAACAGAAGAAGCACCAACAATACCAGCAGAAGCAGCAGCCGAATTGGCTCCAGAAACCGTCCCATCGCAATCCCCTCAATCGCCAACAAGCGCAGGGGTTGAGTCACTGCATAGAACACCTCATCACCCCTTTTCAGAGTCAGCCGAGGCTGATTCTCAAGCTGATGCAGCGGTGCAGAACGGTTCTGGCGCGGAAACTGTAGGAGGAGAGGGCTTGGCGTTGGAACATCAGCAGCAACAGTTGGAGCAGCGACAACACCAGTCGGAGCAGCAGCAGCAGCAGTTGGAGCAGCAACAGCAACAGCAGTTGGAGCAGCAGCAATTCAAGGAGCAACAGCGACAGCAAGAAGAACAGCAATTTGACTTGCAGCAGGAAATGCAATGGCGAGAGCAACAAGCGCAGGCAGAACAGTGGGCTGAACAACAGAGGCAGCAAGTAGAGCAGCAGGAGCAGCAGCAGCGGGAGCAGCAGCAACGGAACGAACAGCGGGAGGAGGAGCAGCAGCAGCGGGAGGAGCAGGAGAAATTGGGCCAAGAGCAAGCAATGGCCTGGCGAGAACAACAAGCACAGTCTGAACAGTGGGCTGAAGAACAAAGGCAGCAGGAGGTGCAGCAGCAGCGGGAGGAGGAGCAACAGCAACAGCAGCAGCAGGAGGAGCAGGCGAGATTGTACCAACAGCAACGATCACAGGCAGAGCAGTGGGAGGCGCGACAATCCGAGGAGCAACAGTGGCAGGAGCAACAATCAGAAGAGAAGCAGTGGCAGGAGCAACAATCAGCGGAGCAGCAGTGGCAGGAGCAACAATCAGGGGAGCAGCAATGGCAGGAACAGGGGCAGCAGCAGCAACACGAGCAAGAGCATCAATCCGAGGAGCATCAGTGGCACGAGCAACAAACACAGGCAGAATACCGACGGCAAGAGCAGCAGCATCAGGAGCAGCAGCAAATACAGCAGGAACAACAACAATTTGAGCAACAGCAATGGCAGGAGCAGCAAGCACAGGCAGACCACTGGGCCCAACAGCAGCAGCACGAACAACAACAACAACAACAGCAGCAGCAGCAGCAGCAACAAGCAGAGTACTCGGCTCAGCAGCAGGAGCAGCAGCAGCAGCAGCAGCAGCAGCAGCAGGCAGAGTACTTGACCCAGCAGCAGCAACTACAACAACAACAACAAGCGGATTACTCGGCTCAACAACAGGAGCAGCAGCAGCAGCAGGCAGAGTACTTGACCCGGCAGCAGCAACTACAACAACAACAACAAGCGGATTACTCGGCTCAACAACAGGAGCAGCAGCAGCAGCAGGCAGAGTACTTGACCCAGCAGCAGCAACTACAACAACAGCAACAAGCAGAGTACTTGGCTCAGCAGCAGGAGCTACAGGCTGGGGGTTGGGGCCAAGAGGAGCAACAGGCGTGGAATCAACAGGAGCATTCACAACAGCAGCACGAGCAGCAAGAGCAGCAAGAGCAGCAAGAGCAGCAAGAGCAGCAGCAGCAGCAGCAGCAGGGGGGGGTTCAGGCGTTGGAGCATGGGGACAGTGAGCAGGCAGTGGGGATGATGGGCGTGGAGGTTGATTTTGAGGCGCCTCAAGAACAGCTTCAGGGTGTTCCTGGGGGTGAGCATGGGGGCAGCGAGGCGGCGGTGGGGGTGATGGGCGTGGGGTTCTTGGACTACAGTGATGAGGAGGACGGCGAGGAGGAAGCTGCGTGGGTGCTTCTTGACGTCCATGGTATGCTACACTCCGCCCCCCTCTCTCTGCTACACTCTGCGGCCGACCCGCTCTTGTGCTCACCGCCCTTCTCTCCCACGTAGTCTCCTCTCCTCTCTGAGAAACCTCAAAAGTGATTTCAACACTTTGCCCCCTCTCTCTTTAGCCGATCCGTTCTTGTGCTCACCGCCCTTCTCTCCGACACAATCTCTTCTCCCCTCCTGGTCCACCATCCCAACTTCCCCCCCAGCTTCCTTCCTCCTGCTGCCTCTCGTACCATCTCCTACCATCTCCGTGCTCCTCACACTTCACCACATCCCTTCCTTTCTCTTCTTTCCCCATCCCCTCTCCCCTCATCCTCCACCCCTCTCCCCCCGCTCCCCCACTCGACCCCCTTCTGCATCCCTGAAGCAGAGCACGAGGAGGACACGGTGGTGTTCCGGTTTGGGTCGAGGGAGCAGGCAGAGGCGCGAGTGGCTCAGCTGGAGCAGCAGGCACACCTTAAAACCTTCCCTTGACTCCTCTCTCCCCCCTACTCTCCCCCTCCGGTTACGCATTCTCCCCCCTTTCCATCCCTGAAGCAGAGCACGAGGAGGACACGGTGGTGTTCCGGTTTGGGTCGAGGGAGCAGGCAGAGGGGCGAGTGGGGGGCAGTTGAAACAGCAGGCACACCATAAGCCTTCACCTCGCCCATCAAATCCCTTACCCACATTCTCCCCTCTCCCCCCCCTGTTCTCCATCCCTGAAGCAGAGCACGAGCAGGACACGGTGGTGTTCCGGTTTGGGTCGAGGGAGCAGGCAGAGGGGCGAGTGGGGCGCAGTTGAAACAGCAGGCACACCATAAGCCTTCACCTCGCCCATCAAATCCCTTACCCACATTCTCCCCTCTCCCCCCCCTGTTCTCCATCCCTGAAGCAGAGCACGAGCAGGACACGGTGGTGTTCCGGTTTGGGTCGAGGGAGCAGGCAGAGGGGCGAGTGGGGCGCAGTTGAAACAGCAGGCACACCATAAGCCTTCACCTCGCCCATCAAATCCCTTACCCACATTCTCCCCTCTCCCCCCCCTGTTCTCCATCCCTGAAGCAGAGCACGACACGGTGGTGTTCCGGTTTGGGTCGAGGGAGCAGGCAGAGGGGCGAGTGGGGCGCAGTTGAAACAGCAGGCACACCATAAGCCTTCACCTCGCCCATCAAATCCCTTACCCACATTCTCCCCTCTCCCCCCCCTGTTCTCCATCCCTGAAGCAGAGCACGAGCAGGACACGGTGGTGTTCCGGTTTGGGTTGAGGGAGCAGGCAGAGGGGCGAGTGGGGCGCAGTTGAAACAGCAGGCACACCATAAGCCTTCACCTCGCCCATCAAATCCCTTACCCACATTCTCCCCTCTCCCCCCCCTGTTCTCCATCCCTGAAGCAGAGCACGAGCAGGACACGGTGGTGTTCCGGTTTGGGTCGAGGGAGCTGGCAGAGGGGCGAGTGGGGCGCAGTTGAAACAGCAGGCACACCATAAGCCTTCACCTCGCCCATCAAATCCCTTACCCACATTCTCCCCTCTCCCCCCCCTGTTCTCCATCCCTGAAGCAGAGCACGAGCAGGACACGGTGGTGTTCCGGTTTGGGTCGAGGGAGCAGGCAGAGGGGCGAGTGGGGCGCAGTTGAAACAGCAGGCACACCATAAGCCTTCACCTCGCCCATCAAATCCCTTACCCACATTCTCCCCTCTCCCCCCCCTGTTCTCCATCCCTGAAGCAGAGCAGGACACGGTGGTGTTCCGGTTTGGGTCGAGGGAGCAGGCAGAGGGGCGAGTGGGGCGCAGTTGAAACAGCAGGCACACCATAAGCCTTCACCTCGCCCATCAAATTCCTTACCCACATTCTCCCCTCTCCCCCCCCTGTTCTCCATCCCTGAAGCAGAGCACGAGCAGGACACGGTGGTGTTCCGGTTTGGGTCGAGGGAGCAGGCAGAGGGGCGAGTGGGGCGCAGTTGAAACAGCAGGCACACCATAAGCCTTCACCTCGCCCATCAAATCCCTTACCCACATTCTCCCCTCTCCCCCCCCTGTTCTCCATCCCTGAAGCAGAGCACGAGCAGGACACGGTGGTGTTCCGGTTTGGGTCGAGGGAGCTGGCAGAGGGGCGAGTGGGGCGCAGTTGAAACAGCAGGCACACCATAAGCCTTCACCTCGCCCATCGTATCCCTTACCCACATTCTCCCCTCTCCCCCCCCTGTTCTCCATCCCTGAAGCACAGCACGAGCAGGACACGGTGGTGTTCCGGTTTGGGTCGAGGGAGCAGGCAGAGACGCGCATGGCGCAGCTGGGGCAGCAGACACGCATTAATGCCCTCTCTTCACTTCTCTCTCCTCCCTCTTTTCCCCCCTTTTCAATCTTGAAGCAGAGCACGAGGAGGACACGGTGGTGTTCCGGTTTGGGTCGAGAGAGCAGGCAGAGGCGCGAGTGGCTCAGCCTGAGAGCAGCAGGCACACCATAGTGCCTCTCTTTACTCCTCTCCCATCCCCCCGTCTCCCCTGCACCCGTCTCTCCGACCCACCCTTCCTCCCCCCCCCCTTGTCTCCATCTCTGAAGCAGAGCATGAGGAGGACACGGTGGTGTTCCGGTTTGGGTCGAGGGAGCAGGCAGAGGCGCAGTTAGAGCAGCTAGAGGAGCAGGCGCAGAGTCTGAGGGAGCAGATTCAGGATGCTGAGTGGGAGAGGCAGGCGCGGCAGCAGCTGCAGGTGCAAAGGGAGCAGCAGGTGCTGCTGCAGCAGCAGGAGCAGGAGCAAGAGTGGCAGGAGCAGCAAGAACAGCAACAGCAGCAGTGGCAGCAACAGCAGCAGCAGCAGCAGCAGCAGCAGCTGGAGGAGCAGCAGCAGTGGGAGGAACAGGGAGCGGGAGGGGGGGTTGGTGTGCCCTCTGCGTGGAACCAAGAGCAGGCTGGGGTGCAAGGGGTGCAAGAGCAGCAGTGGGAAGAGGAGCAGTGGGAGCAGCAGCAGAGGGAGCAGCAGTGGGAGGAGCAGCAGCGGGAGCAGCAGCAGCAGCAGGAGGTGCAGTTGGGGTGGGACGAGCAGCAGCAGCAACAGCAACACCAACAACAACAGCAACAGCAAGAGCAGCAGCAGCAGGGGTATGAGGCGCAGCAGCAGGGCTTACACGGATACGAAGATCAGCAGCAGAGGGATGAGGGCAGTGCAGGGTGGGAGGGAAGTGCTTCTCAATTTCCAGCTTCCAATCTCAGTTATCCAAACGGCGTGGTTCTAGAAGAGGAAGAGGTGTTCCCAATCCCAGTTCCAGTCCCAGTGATGCAGTCAGAACTGGAAGCGCTGCAATCGGCAGCGCAAGGGGAGGGAGCAGCAGAGCAAGCAGCGCAGGAGCAGGGAGCACAGGAGTACGCAGCACAGGGGGGATATGGCGAGCTGGGAGCAGCAGAGCCGGGAGCAGCAAAGGATGGAGGCATAGTTTCAGGCGAGGAGGCGGCAGAAGCCCCTGTGCACGAGGAGGAAAGCAGGAGGTATGCTCTCTACTTCCACCCCTCGGATTTGTGAGTAAAAAAGAAAAAATATCAAAGAACGAGCAGCAGCAGAGGAGGGAGGCACTGTTTCTGGTGAGTAAGTGGCAAAGCCCGTTCACATGGAGAGGAGGTGTTGCTTTGCCCCAGCTGCAGCTGCATCTCAAAGTCGGGGTGTATAGCGTCCCCCACCCCGGTATTAACCCTTTGTCAGGGAGTAGTAGCGGAGGGAGGGAGGCACTGTTTCAGGCGAGTAAGTGGCAGAAGCCCGTTTACATGAGGAGGACGTGGTGTTGCAGCACCAGCTGCTGCTGACAGCCAGTCTGATTCTGTTCAACCGACTTTTGAGGCGCCTCGAAAGTGGGAGAAGCCCGGTACATGAGGAGGACGTGGTGTTGCTCCATCTGGCCGTCCAGGCCGCGAGTGCAAGGAGGAGGTGGTGCTGCATAAGCTGCAGCTGATGGCCACGCGTGTTCTCCTCTCCGCTCTCCCACTTTCCCACCCTACTATTCAACTTTCTCCTCCCCTCTTCCTCCCTACACGTGTGAACCCAGCCTGGCCATCCAGGCCTCTGAGCGCAAGGAGGACGTGGTGCTGCACCAGCTGCAGCTGAGAGCTGCACGTGTTCTCCTCTCTCTCTCTCTCTCTCACCACAATGTACACCATACACACCATTCTCCACCCATCTCTTTCCCCACATTTCCCCAGCCTGGCCGTCCAGGCCTCTGAGCGCAAGGAGGACGTGGTGTTGCATCAGCTGCAGCTGAAGGTCGGAGTCTACAGCGTCCCCCACCCTGCCCATAATTCCCTCTCTCCCCTTTCCCTTCGTTCCCTCTCCTCTTCCCCTCAGCCTGGCCGTCCAGGCCTCTGAGCGCAAGGAGGACGTGGTGCTGCATCAGCTGCAGCTGAAAGTCGGGGTCTACAGCGTACCCCACCCTGCCCGGGTACGTTTTGTACCGTGCTCTAGTATTGTTGAGAGGAGAAGGTAGAAGAAACACTGGGGAACCAAAAAAAAAAAAGAAAAAAAAAAGTGTTGAGATTTGTAAAAAACAGTCTGCAGGTGAAGGTAGGGGTCCACACAGCGTCTAACACCCTGCCTGTGATTTTTTTGCTCCCTGCCTGGCTATGTTGCTGTCTTCTGCCCGGATGTGAAAAAAATCCTTCCAGTGTATGATTTATTAGCCTCTTAATCCTTCCTCTGACTCCCGCTACTTCTGTGTAGGCTTAAGGTGGCTGGGGGGAGGTGGGAAAACTCTTGGGTTGTCTCATGCATCGTATCTATTTTAGCGTTTGACTTCTCGACCCCGACCAACTGTGGTTGGTGCATTGTGTGTGTGTTGTGCAATGTGCAGGCGTCAAGGGGAGGTGACGATGCGTATTTGGTGGAGGGGAACTGGCTGGGCGTGGCGGATGGCATTGGCACATGGACGGACCAGGGTGAGGAGTGGTGTGCGGTGGTGTGGGGTGGTGAGGGGCGGCAAGGGGTGGTGCGGGGTGATGAGGGGTGGTGAGGGGTGGTGAGAAAGGTTTACTATGGGTGGAGGGGAACTGGCTTGGTGTGGCAGATGGCATTGGCACGTGGACGGACCAAGGTGAGGGGTGGGGTGGTGAGGGAAGTTGAGGGGCGGTGAGGGGTGATTAGGGGTGGTGGGGGGTGGTGAGGGGTGATTAGGGGTGGTGGGGGGTGGTGAAGGCTATATTTTACGGCTCATATTTGCGGAATGATGTGGAAATGTGTCAACGTGATTCGGTCCCTGATCCTCCCCTTTCCCTCCCTTATATGCATTTTATGCATCCACCAGGCATCAATGCGGGCCTTTATTCCCAGAGATGATGTGGAACTGCGTCAACGTGATTCAGTCGCGGCAGGAGGGAGCAGACAGTGACGAGGACGACGAGTCTCATGACGACTTTGCCGACCATCTCGGCGGCAGATACCTGTAGTCACCACCTGACTAAACGCCACAACACCGAAGGCAATTTCCGTTTCCTGCCTCCCCTCCCCTTGCGCCCCTCACCCCTCACCCTCGGCGCTCCACCAGGCATTAACGCGGGCTTATACTCGCGTGAAATGATGTGGAACTGTGTCAACGTGATCCGGTCGCGGCAGGAGGGAGCAGATAGTGACGAGGACGACGACAGCGATGACGAGTTAGCCGATGAGTTTGATTTAACTGACAGAGGGGCACTGGCAGAGGGGCACTGGCAGAGGGGAACAGCAGGTGCCTTCAGTCACCTGTCTGACCGCCACAACACCAAATGCCACTCCCGCTTCCTGCCTCCCCTTCCCATGCGTCCCCTCGTCCCCCCACCAGGCATCAACGCTGGTCTATACTCGCGAGAGATGATGTGGAACTGCGTCAACGTGATTCGGTCGCGGCAGGAGGGAGCAGACAGTGACGAGGACGACGACAGCGATGACGAGTTTGCCGACCATCTAGAGGGCGGCAGATCCGATTCCGAGCTAGATTCGGATCACAACGACTCGGCAGGCGTCGGGCGGGGGCCGGCGGCGGGCGGCAGCCTAGACGGCGCTGGCGGCGGAACGGGCGGCATGGGCGGCGGAGCGGGCGGCGGGAGAGGGAGGGGCGTGGGGGATGCGGGAGGGGGGGTGGTGAGCGGGGTGGGGGCGGGCGGGGATGATTACGACTATGGGTATTATGATGATGAGGAGGATTTGGATCCGATGGATCCCAAGGGGGTGATCGAGGAGAGCCACAGCCGCACGGACCTGAGAGGGTCCTGCACCATCACTCTTGCCGTCCTTGACAAAGACGTGAGTGGGAATGTTGGGTGCTACTCCCTCAAAACCAGGTGATAATGTGACTATGGTTGAGCGGAGTGGGGGCGGGCGGGGATGATTACGACTATGGGTATTATGACGATGAGGAGGATTTGGATCCGATGGATCCCAAGGGGGTGATCGAGGAGAGCCACAGCCGCACTGATTTACGCAGGTCCTGCACCATCACTCTTGCCGTGCTTGATAAAGACGTGAGTGGGTTCTCTCAGGCAGCAGTACCTCAAAGCCAGGTGACTATGTGACTCTGAGTATGGGTGAGGGGAGTGGGGGCGGGTGGGGGCACTGACCTACGAGGGTCGTGCACCATCACCCTCGCTGTTCTTGATAAAGATGTGAGTGGACCCTGCACCATCAAACTTGTGGTTGTGTGCCACTCCTTGTGGCTGGGCGATGATTTGGACCCGTGAAGTGGGGGCAGGAGGGGATGATTACAACTATGGTTGAATGGAGTGGTGGCAATGTGACTACAAATGCGGGTTGTAGGACGAGGGTGAGAGGCGCGTGCACCATCACCCTTGCCGTGCTTCATAAAGACGTGAGTGGGAATGCGCTGTTTTTATGCAGCTGCAGGTTTTGGCTTCTGAAGCGGGGCTGAGTTTGTGATCCTCTCTTTTCCCTCTCCCTTCCCTCCCCCCCCCCTCCCTCTTCCCTCCCCTTCAGCGCCTGCGAGTGGCAAGCATAGGCAGCTGTGGATTCGTGCTGCTGAGGAGGGGCGAGCTAGTGATCCTCTCTCTTTGCCTCTCCCTCCCGCCCCGCTCCCCACTTCTGTCTCCCTCACCTCTTCCCCACCCGCTCAGCGGCTGCGAGTGGCGAGCATAGGCAGCTGTGGTTTCGTGCTGCTCAGGAGGGGCGAGCTGGTGATCCGCTCAGAGCGCATGGAGCACTCCTTTGGCAACCCGTTTCAGATCGGGCACGAGGCCGGGGACGGGCCTGACTGCGCTAAGGTGAGCTTATGTGGTGCTGCTTGTGAAACCCCTGGCTCAGCCACAGGCAGCTGCGGTTGAGGAGGGGCGAGCTGGTGATCCGCTCAGAGCGCATGGAGCACTCCTTTGGGAACCCCTTCCAGATCGGCCATGAGGCAGGAGACGGGCCTGACTGTGCCAAGGTGAGCTCTTGTCTCTGCCACCCCCCGTTTCCACTCCGCTCGGAGCGCATGGAGCACTCCTTTGGCAACCCCTTTCAAATCGGGCATGAGGCAGGGGACGGCCCTGACTGTGCAAAGGTGAGCTCTTAAAAGTGTGACTGCAGTAAGATGAAACCCCAAGCATGTGCATGTGCATGTGCATGTGCATGTGCATGTGCATGTGCATGTGCATGTGCATGTGCATGTGCATGTGCATGTGCATGTGCATGTGCATGTGCATGTGCATGTGCATGTGCATGTGCATGTGCATGTGCATGTGCATGTGCATGTGCATGTGCATGTGCATGTGCATGTGCATGTGCATGTGCATGTGCATGTGCATGTGCATGTGCATGTGCATGTGCATGTGCATGTGCATGTGCATGTGCATGTGCATGTGCATGTGCATGTGCATGTGCATGTGCATGTGCATGTGCATGTGCATGTGCATGTGCATGTGCATGTGCATGTGCATGTGCATGTGCATGTGCATGTGCATGTGCATGTGCATGTGCATGTGCATGTGCATGTGCATGTGCATGTGCATGTGCATGTGCATGTGCCCGCTCCAGAGCTTTTTGCTCTGTCAAGGCGGTGTGAGCTTGAGTGTGAGCGTGCTTAGTGGAGCGCATGAAGCACCCCTTTGGCAACCCCCTTTCAGATCGGCCACGAGGCTGGGGACGGCCCTGACTGCGCCAAGGTGAGCCTTCAACACATTATTCTGCCAAGCGACTTGGTCCAAGCGCGCGACCTGGTCCAAGCGCGCGACCTGGTCCAAGCGCGCGACCTGGTCCAAGCGCGCGACCTGGTTCAAGTGCCCGCGGCCAGGTTCAAGCGTGCGCGACCTGGTCCAAGCGCCCGCGGCCTGGTCCAAGCGCGCGACTTGGTGCAAGTGAGGGACTTGGTCCAACTGCGCGACTTGGTCCAAGTTAGCGACTTGGTCCAAGCGAGCGACTTGGTCCAAGCGAGCGCCTTGGTCCAACTAGGCGACTTGGTCCAAGCGCGCGCCTTGGTCCAAGCGGGCGACAAGGTCCGCGCGCGCGCGCTTTGGCCCGCGGGCGCGCGCCTTGGTCCGCGGGCGCGCGCCTTGGTCCGCGCGCGCGTCCCTTGGTCCGCGCGCGCGCCCCTTGGTCCTCGCGCGCGCCCCTTGGTCCTCGCGCGCGCCCCTTGGTCCGCGCGCGCGCGCCTTGGTCCGTGCGCGCGCCCCTTGGTCCGCGCGCGCGCGCCTTGGTCCGCGCGCGCGAGCCTTGGTCCGCGCGAGCGCCTTGGTCCGCGCGAGCGCCTTGGTCCGCGCGCGAGCGTCTTGGTCCGCGCGCGCGCCTTGGTCCGCGCGCGCGCCCCTTGGTCCGCGCGCGCGCTCCTTGGTCCGCGCGCGCGTGCCTTAATCCAAACGCGCACGCCTTGGTCCGAGCGCGCGCGCGTTGGTCCGCGCGCGCGCGCCTTGGTCCGCGCGCGCGCGCCTTGATCCGCGCGCGCGCCCCTTGGTCCGCGCGCGCGCGCCTTGGTCCGCGCGCGCGCGCCTGGGTCCGAGCGCGCGCGCCTGGGCCCGCGGGCGCGCCTGGGTCCGCGGGCGCGCGCCTGGGTCCGCGCGCGCGCGCCTGGGTCCGCGCGCGCGCGCCTGGGTCCACGCGCGCGCTCCTGGGTCCGCGCGCGCGCTCCTTGGTCCGCGCGCGCGCCTCGGTCCGCGCGCGCGCCCTCGGGTCCACGCACGCTCGCCTCGGTCCGCGCGCGCCCCTGGGTCCGCGCGCACGCGCCTTGGTCTGCGCGCGCGCCTTGGTCCGCGCGCGCGCCTTGGTCCGAGCGCGCGCCTTGGTCCGCGCGCGCGCGCCTTGGTCCGAGCGCGCGCCTTGGTCCGCGCGCGCGCGCCTTGGTCCGCGGGTGCGCCTTGGTCCGCGCGCGCGCGCCTGAGTCCGCGCGCGCGCGCCTTGGTCCGCGCGCTCGCGCCTTGGTCCGCGCGCACGCGCCTTGGTCCGCGCGCGCGCGCCTTGGTCCGCGCGCACGTCCCTTGGTCCGAGCGCGCGCCTTGGTCCGCGCGCGCGCGCCTTTGTCCGCGCGCGCGCGCCTTGGTCCGCGCGCGCGCGCCTTGGTCCGCGCGCGCGCGCCTTGGTCCGCGCGCGCGTCCCTTGGTCCGAGCGCGCGCCTTGGTCCGCGCGCGCGCCTTGGTCCGCGCGCGCGCCTTGGTCCGCGCGCGCGCCTTGGTCCGCGCGCGCGTCCCTTGGTCCTCGCGCGCGCGCCCCTTGGTCCGCGCGCGCGCCCCTTGGTCCGCGCGCGCGCCCCTTGGTCCGCGCGCGCGCGCCTTGGTCCGTGCGCGCGCCTTGGTCCGTGCGCGCGCGCCTTGGTCCGCGGGCGCGCCTTGGTCCGCGCGCGCTCGCCTCGGTCCGCGCGTGCGCCCCTGGGTCCGCGCGCGCGCCCCTTGGTCCGCGCGCGCGCGCCCCTTGGTCCGCGCGCGCGCGCGCCTTGGTCCGCGCGCGCGCGCCTGGGTCTGCGCACACGCCTTGGTCGCGCGCGCGCGCCTGTGTCTGAGCGCGCGCCTGGGTTCGCGCGCGCGCGCCTGGGTCCGCGCGCGCTCGCCTCGGTCCGCGCGCGCTCGCCTCGGTCCTGGCTTCACATCTACTGGCTTCGACGCCAACCTACGAGCAATCAACGGGCTGTCTGACAATCTCTTTCTCCTGTCACACCATCGTGTGTTCAATGGGGATTTCTCCTCTCTTGTTTCTCCCCCCTTGTCTTCTCTTAATTGCTCTTCCATGTGAGCAGGATTACACCATTCCCGTGCAAGCAGGCGACGCCATTTTATTAGCCACCAACGGGCTGTTTGACAATCTCTTTCTCGACACCATCGTGCGCGTGCTGTGTGCTGCGCTGGGGGAGGGCAAGAGACCCGAGGTGAGAGGGGGAGAGGGGAGAGGGGAGGGCAAGAGAGCAGAGAGCAGAGCAGAGAGCAGGGCTGAGAGGGTACAGGCGAGCAGTGGTAGGCTGTTTGACAATCTCTTTCTCGACACCATCGTGCGCGTGCTGTGTGCTGCCAATGTGACTTCCCTTTCCCTACCTCTTTGCCCTCCCCTCCCCCCAGTCTGTGGCTCGCAAGCTCGTGTCTATGGCACATAAAGCAGGGGAGTGCACAGCAGAGCCCACGCCGTATGCTATAGCAGCCAATGTGACTTCCATCTTCCTTTTCCAACCCCTACAACCCCTCTCCTGCCTCTTCCCCCGTCTCCCTCTCCTCCTTCCCAGTCCGTTGCTCGCAAGCTCGTGTCGATGGCGCATAAAGCAGGGGAGAGCACAACAGAGCCCACACCGTATGCTATAGCAGCCAAGGCAGCAGGGGTGAATCATGAGGGGGGGAGGCGGGATGATGTGACTGTTATAGTGGCTTATGTGCAATAAAAGTGATGTGGAGGGGATGTGGAGGGGATGTGGAGGGGCGGAGGGGAGGAGGGGAGGAGAGGAGGAGGGGAGGAGGGGAGGAGGGGAGGAGGGGAGGAGGGGAGGAGGGGAGGAGGGGAGGAGGGGAGGAGGGGAGGAGGGGAGGAGGAGAGGAGGGTAGGAGGGGAGGGGAGGAAGGAAGGGAGGGGGATGGTATAGTGCGGGTAAATAGCTGCCTCGGGCACTGCGCGGTATGCAATAGCAGCCAAGCCAACAGGGTTGACCACAATGGGGAAACCATCAAACTCCATCCATCTCGCATCAACCGCAACTGCGGCGGGATTAGTGTTCAGCTGCATCGTCATCTCAACCGTCCATCCCGTTTTGTGACCTCCCACAACACGAGGGGAGAAACCATAAAACCCCATCCATCTTGCATAAACCGCAACTGCGGCGGGATTAGTGTTCAGCTGCATCGTCATCTCAACCGTCGATCCCGTTTTGTGACGTCCCGCAATACGACGGGGGAGAAACCATATCACCCCATCCATCTCGCATCAACTGCAACTGCGACGGGATTATTGTTCAGCTGCATCATCCCCTCAACCTTTGATTCCGTTTTGTGACGTCCCACAACACGACGGGGGAGAAACCATCAAACCCCATCCATCTCACATCAACCGCAACTGCGGCGGGTCTGTTGTTCAGCTTCATCATCATCTCAACCGTTGATCCCGTTTTGTTATCAACTGTTCGACTTCACCGCCACTCCTATCACTTGTGGTTCAAGAGCCGCCTCAACGCCCTTTTACATGTCCCACTCCCATCTTCTATCCACGACTTTACAACCCATCCCTTCGTTCCACCACAACTCTGGTCTGCTCCACCCATAAACTCCCATGCCATATCTAAATCACCCAAGCTTTCGTTGCTCGCGCCGACGAACCTAGCATGTGGTCTGTGTGGATGTTAGCCTTCCATCAACCAGCTTTTAGTCAACTAGCTCGTGCGTTCGGCTCTTGCTGAAACTATTGCTCTTTCGTACTCGTTTGTTTGTATTGTTGTGATTTTGAGCTGTAACTACAGGTGCTAGTGGCTTGATGTGTGCACCTCACTCTACCCAAAAGATTTGCATGGAGGTTCTTGGTTGGAAATTATGTAAACAGTTATTATTTAGTTTAGCCTGGCTGGTTACACTTGCCAAAACGATTTATCATCAGCCTTTTCGGCCGGCATTCCCAGAGCTCAATCTCGCATAAAGTTGTAGCACGTTCTAAAAATCTGGCCGTTGGTTCTGCTCCATCAGCCATATCGTCACATCACCGAGCTGTGATATTCTCGAGGAAGTTCGCGTGTTCTTCAGTTTCTGGTTAGCTCGTTCGTTAGTGATTAATTTCGACGCGGTAGGAGGTCTTTAAGTCATTAGCAGGATCTATTTGAGGTCTGCGATTAATCTAGGGTAAGTTTCTTCATTCGGCCGCAACTTCCGCTTCCGTGCTTTATTTCCTCGCAGTAGACACGCTTCTACCTTCGTTCATTAATAACTCCTTATATTTTCGACAGGTTATTAACTCAGCGTAATTATTCTCCTCGTTCGTTTTATTCCCGTACGTTCCTTCCTCCTTGTTTCTTGCACAGGCTCATCGGTATCCCTCCTCAGCTCTTGAAGTCTCTGTAACCCGTTTTCGCGAAAATCAACGAAATGGCGCTCAGGACCCGAGATTCGCGTCGCAGCCGTCAGGACCCCCCTTCAAGCCACATACAGCAGCAGCAGCAACAACAGCAGCAGCAGCGCGGCCTAATCCAAACCGCACCGCAGCAGCAGCATCATGCCGGTCCCTTGCCGGCCGGAACCATCTATCAAGCCAGACAAGCCGGCCAAGCTCCCATGCCCGTCCAATTTCAAGGACCCGCTGGTCAGCCGCCGTTTATCGTTCACCAGGCCGGACCTCCGTTCGTTCCCGGACCTGGTTTCCAACCCGGACTCGCAGGTCCGGGTCCGGTCCAGGTGTTGGTTCGGGGACCCGCTCCCCCACAGGGAATGCCTGTTCCGCAACCGCAACCCCCTGCCGCCCAGAACGTCGCAGGGCAGCAGCTAGATGTCAAACTTGCCGCCCAGCAGGGGGACATTCAGCAGCTGCTGATGGAGAATCAACGGCTGGCGGCGACCCACGTGGCGCTCAGGCAGGAGCTGGCGTCTGCTCAGGGGGAGATCCAACGGCTGAAAGGCGCCGTTGGGGAGAAGGATCAGGTGGTTAGGGGCCTGATGGATACCAAGGCGAAGCTTGAAGCGGACCTGAGGGGAGCAGGTATGTTATGTTGGAATGTGTGTTGGGTTGTTTCTGAGGTGAAGTACCGTGCAGGCATGCGGGTGCGTGTTTTAAGAAGGATCAGGTGGTCAGAGGGCTGATGGATACCAAGGCGAAGCTTGAAGCGGACCTGAGGGGAGCAGGTATGTTATGTTGGAATGTGTGTTGGGTTGTTTCTGAGGTGAAGTACCGTGCAGGCATGCGGGTGCGTGTTTTAAGAAGGATCAGGTGGTGAGAGGGCTGATGGATACCAAGGCGAAGCTAGAAGCGGACCTGCGAGGCGCAGGTATGTTCTGTGGTGTGTGATGGGTTGTTTGTGAGACAAATTGATTATTTCCCGCACTAAGGCAGGAATTGCAAGCGGCAAGACAGGAGCTTCAAGGCACGAGGGGGGAGATCCAGGCGCTCTTTAAAGCAAGCGGCCAGGCAGGAGCTTCAGGGCACTAGGGGGGAGATTCAGGCGCTGACGTCACGCAGGCAGGCAGAGGAAGCTGCGCGGATGGCGCAGCATCAGCAGGCGCAGCAGCAGCAGCAGCTGCAGACCTGATCTTTCAAAGCGAGTCCCAAAGCGGACCTGATCTTTCTTCCCTTCCTTCTCCCCTTCGCTTTCCCGTCTGATCATCCCCCAGACACGCTCAGGCAGGAGCTGCAAGCGGCGAGGCAGGAGCTTCAGGGCACGAGGGGCGAGATTCAGGCGCTCATTTGTGGTATCTAACCTTCCTTCTATCTTCAGGGGGTTTGAGGGCTGAATCAAACGTCCTTCTATCTTCTCCTTTGATTCCCCGTCTCTTTCCCTTCCGATTTCCCCCCAGACACACTGAGGCAGGAGCTGCAGGCGGCAAGGCAGGAACTTCAGGGCACTAGGGGCGAGATCCAGGCGCTGACGTCACGCAGGCAGGCAGAGGAAGCTGCGCGGATGGCGCAGCATCAGCAGCACCAGCAGCAGCAGCAGCAGCTGCAGCAGCAGCAGGCGCAGATGCAGCAGCAGCAGGCGAAGATTCAGCAGCAGGCGGCGCAGATAGGGCAGATGAACCAGGACCTGAACCGCATGCATGCTGACGTGCAGCTGCTGCCCAAGCTGAGGGGGGAGATTGACTCAATCACCCAGGAACTCGCCCTCGCCAGGTGAGAATGAAACCCTAGCAGAGGGAGTAAGCAGGTTAATACAGATAGAGCAGGCGGCGCAGATAGGGCAGATGAACCAGGACCTGAACCGCATGCACGCAGACGTGCAGCTGCTGCCCAAGCTGAGGGGGGAGATTGACTCAATCACCCAGGAACTCGCCCTCGCCAGGTGAGCTTGAAATCCTAGCAGAGGGAGGGAGCAGGTTAATGCAGATAGAGCATATAGGGCGGAGGTTCAGAAATACGACCGAATTTTTGAAAATTTACCGTAAAATACGGTATCGTATTTTACGGTCGTATTAAACGGTAAAATACGGCCAGACCTTGCATTTTTAGGTTCGTTCAAAAATACGGTCGTTTTTAACGGCCGAATTTTTTTAACGAGTTTTTGGAGTTTCCGTGGGGCTCAAGAACATCCCCACAGAAGCTCAGACAGGTTCCGTGGCCATCTGTAATAGTCTAGGGTTGGGCTGAGGCCAATGTCGAGATCTGTGAAAGTGTACGGGGGGTTGGGTCTTGTAGATCCAGTGCGGTGACAAGTGATAAGTGGCGACGAATTGGTTGGGACATTGAGTTCCAACAATTTTGACGGGGAGGAAGGGGTGCCTGACTTTGGGTTCTCAGTTCGTGGCGAATTCAATTTGACCAGCGAAATCGCCGATCTGTGCAGAGCTATGGGCGAAATCGCCGATCTGCGCAGATCGGCGGGCGAAATCGCCGGTATGCGCAGATCGGCGGGCGAAATCGCCGCACAAGCGGGGCCGCTTATAATAGTCTGAGTTTGGGGGGGGAGCGGCCTTTTAGGCCTGATCATTAGCAATTTCTTTGATGTTCACATCCCTAGAAGTGGATGGTAGCAAGTCTGAAGTTAGATTATTATTTTTTTTGCGGAGAAAAAAACTCTATCAAAAAAACGGCCGAATTTTTTAAAATTGACCGTAAAATACGACCGTAAAAAACGGCCCGTATAATACGACAACCGTATTTTTAATCCTTAAGGGCAGATGAACCAGGACCTGAACCGCATGCACGCAGACGTGCAGCTGCTGCCCAAGCTGAGGGGGGAGATTGACTCAATCACCCAGGAACTCGCCCTCGCCAGGTGAGCTTGAAACCCTAGCAGAGGGAGGGAGCAGGTTAATGCAGATAGAGCATATAGGGCGGATAGGGCAGATGAACCAGGACCTGAACCGCATGCATGCTGACGTGCAGCTGCTGCCCAAGCTGAGGCAGGAGATTGATGCTCTTACTCAGGAACTCGCCTCGCCAGGTGAGCTTGAAGCGCCTTACCATGAGGGAGAGAGGGGAATAGGTGAGCTCTTATGGGCCAGATAGGGCAGATAGGGCAGATGAACCAGGACCTGAACCGCATGCATGCAGACGTGCAGCTGCTGCCCAAGCTGAGGCAGGAGATTGATGCTCTTACTCAGGAACTCGCCCTCGCCAGGTGAGCTTGAAGCGCCTTACCATGAGGGAGAGAGGGGAATAGGTGAGCTCTTATGGGCCAGATAGGGCAGATAGGGCAGATGAACCAGGACCTGAACCGCATGCATGCTGACGTGCAGCTGCTGCCCAAGCTGAGGGGGGAGATTGACTCAATCACCCAGGAACTCGCCCTCGCCAGGTGAGCTTGAAACCCTAGCAGAGGGAGGGAGCAGGTTAATGCAGATAGAGCATATAGGGCGGATAGGGCAGATGAACCAGGACCTGAACCGCATGCATGCTGACGTGCAGCTGCTGCCCAAGCTGAGGCAGGAGATTGATGCTCTTACTCAGGAACTCGCCCTCGCCAGGTGAGCTTGAAGCGCCTTACCATGAGGGAGGGAGGGGAGGGGAACAGGCGAGCTCGTATAGGGCAGATAGGGCAGAGAGGGCGGATAGCGCAGATAGGGCAGATGAACCAGGACCTGAACCGCATGCATGCTGACGTGCAGCTGCTGCCCAAGCTGAGGCAGGAGATCGATGCAATCACTCAAGAACTTTCTCTTGCCAGGTGAGGGTTGAGCAGCAGAGAGGGCGGATAGGGCAGATAGGGCAGATGAACCAGGACCTGAACCGCATGCACGCGGACGTGCAGCTGCTGCCAAGCTCAGGCAGGAGGTGGATGCTCTCACTCAGGAACTCGCCCTCGCCAGGTGAGCTTGCAACGCCTTACCATGAGGGAGGGAGGGGAGGGGAACAGGCGAGCTCATATAGGGCGGATAGGGCAGATAGGGCAGATGAACCAGGACCTGCAGCTGCTGCCCAAGCTGCCGCAGGAGATCGACTCAATCACCCAGGAACTCGCCCTCGCCAGGTGAGAATGAAACCCTTTAGGGCGCGACCGCCTTGCTTGGCGCCTGCTGTTGCGCGCCAGCCTGGTGAGTCTATAGCTCAGGCAGGAGGTCGACTCTCTCACCCAGGAACTCGCCCTTGCCAGGTGAGAAGTGAAGCCCTAGCAGAGGGAGGGAAGGGAGGGGAACAGGCGAGGTCATATAGGGCAGATAGGGCAGATGAACCAGGAGATCGACTCAATCACCCAGGAACTCGCCCTCGCCAGGTGATAACGAAACCTTCTCCTCACTTCACTGTGAGCCTTGAACCTCTCCGTACACCGTTCATTCACTGTGCGTTAGGCGTTTTCATTGAAGCTGAGGCAGGAGTTCGACGCTCTCGCCCAGGAACTCGCCCTCGCCAGGTGAGCCTTAAACCTCCTCACCTCTCTGTGTGAGCCTCAAACTACTCCTCTGTATGCCGTTCGTTCATTATACGCAAGATGTCATCTAGTACGTATTGTATGTTAGGCGGCCCTCATAGAAGCCAAGGCAGGAGCTCGACGCACTTATGTAGGAAGTCGCGCCTGCTGTTCATGAGCCCTAAACGCCTTACCTTGACCTCTGTAGGTTCGTAGCCTGCTGTTCACTGAGCGTTGGGGTTTCGCATACAATGGTTTGAATGGTCGTTGAGCTGCCATTGACGCTTTTTGAGGCGCCGCAACAGCCATATCCTAGTGGTAGCAACGTGTGTGGTTTGCTTGCTCCTGTGGCAACACATTGCAATGCGTTCAGTGAGAGGGATTGAACAAACAAAATCGCTAGGATTGATTCAGAAACAAGTCGAGTTTCGTCCCCTCGCTAGCAACGCCACTGCGCACCTCACTACGGCTCTCCAACGTGTGAGGTGACTTTTGAGTCGACTCAAAAGTCACTGCGCACCTCACTACAGCTCTCCAACGTGTGCAGAAGAACGAGTTTCAGTGTCTCAGACGTCATGGATGGGGTTCATTGTTACTTCAAAGCATTACCTTTTATTGTGTGCTATGTTTAAGACTCGTCAGAAGCATATCTCCCCCTAAGCTGAAGGTGAGCGGGAGGAGGAGGTAGGGAGTAGCATAGCATGCGTGGATGTTGCTGCAAGTCACTTTTGAGAATTCGCAAAAGTGACTCCGACATAGCATTGATGGTCCTGTGGCACACGTGCTTGCTTGCTCAGTCGCTTCTTCAGAGTTTCTGACTTGCGACAATGCTGTTACTTCTGCCCGTTGAATTGTGAGGCGCCTCAAAACCCGTGTACTCTATGCATCCCGTTCCACCATACATGCCATTGCACTATCCATCTCCCCATTCATCACATGTCTTTTGGATGCATAGCATGCGTGTGTGGTATGCATGCGATTGCTGTCGGCTTAGAATCAGCGCATCTCATTCCACATGTGCATTTCACCCACCCACCATGCATCACATGTTCGCCGAATGCATAATGTTCGCCGATGGCTTGTATGCATGCAAAGAGGCAAGCAGGTAGACATCATGGGGTTTGTAATACTTGGTGGTCTCAGGAGCAGGCAAACATTGAAGTAAGCGAAGCAGGCCAACAGCAGGTTGTTTAAGCGAAGCAGCGGGCTGACTGACATCACAACATACATACACTGTCATGATTAACCCATGCATGCATGCATGCATCACAACATACACTGAGAAGCGGGTTGTGCGGGTGTAGCAGCGGGTTGTGCGGGTGTAGCAGCGGGTTGTGCGGGTGTAGCAGCGGGTTGATACTTGCTCGTATTAGAAAATATTCCTGCAGCGTGAGCGAGCATCTGAGTGGCCCAAAAGATCTCCATCAGTTTGATGATATCATATCATATCATCGTGATCTGAGATGCCGGTGGTGTCCCTAGTGGGGCAGCAGAGCAGCGGAGCAGGAGGGCAGCAGCAGCAGCAGCAGGCGGGTTCTTAGAATGTCAAGAGAACCAGATGCAGCAGCGGGTTAATAGTTGGATTGCACGCAGTGTTGGTTGGTGTACCCCTATCCTTTCCATCCACTGATTGGGTGAATTCTGAGTCAACTTAAACGCAGCGGGCTGATGGTTGACAGATATGCAGGATTGTTGTGCCCCTTTCCTTTCCACTGACTGTCATGACCGACTCATACCATACCATACCGCATTAAACCCATTTGTACATAGGAGCGATGGAGTACGAGAAGAAGGCCAACATGGACCTGGTTTGGTGGAGCAGGGGGGCGCGGGGTGGCTGTAGGCTAGGCATTCTTGGTTGGTGTGCCCCATCCCATTCCAATGACCCCCACCCATGCAATGCCATGCTATGACCGTGACCCTGGTGGGACGTGAGGTGAGGGTGTTTTTGAGACGTCTCAAAAACACCCTCACCTCACGTTCCCATTCCAATGACCCCCACCCATGCAATGCCATGCCATGCCATGACCGTAACCCTGGTGGGAGCAGGCAAGCGGTGGAGTACGAGAAGAAGGCCAACACGGATCTGGTGGAGCAGAGCAGCGGGTTGATGGTTGATGGTTGATTGTAGGCTAGGCGCACATTTGGTGTGTGCTCCATCCCATTCCGCTGATCCCCACCCATGCATGCAACCATGACTATGTGGGAGCAGGCAAGCGGTGGAGTACGAGAAGAAGGCCAACACGGATCTGGTGGAGCAGCGGGGCGAGGGGAGGCTGTAGGCTAGAGCATCGTTGGTTCGCCCATCTCATACCATGCCATACCGCACTGCACCATACCATCTTGTTTTCATGCATAGGCAAGCGGTGGAGTACGAGAAGAAGGCCAACACGGATCTGGTGGAGCAGCGGGTTGATAATCGGCTGTAGGCTAGGCTAGGCAGCGTTGTTTGGTGTGCCCGATCGCTTTCCACTTGACCCCAACCCATGCATGCAATCGTGACTTGACCCCGGTGGGAGCAGGCAGGCAGTGGAGTATGAGAAGAAGGCCAACATGGATCTCGTGGAGCAGCGGGGAGCCATGGAGAAAAACCTCATTGCCTCTGCTCGCGACGTGGAGCGTCTGAAGGCGCAGATCGCCAACCTGCCACCCATGATGAGCCAAGGTAGTGATTATGAGAGGAGAGAGAGTGCAGTACAGTAAGAGGGGATGCAGTGCGGTTACAGTTGGTGGAGCAGCGGGGTGCCATGGAGAAGAACCTAATCGCCTCTGCTCGGGACGTGGAGCGCCTTAAGGCCCAAATCGCCAACATCCCGCCCATGATGACTCAGCAGCCGCCCAACATGCCAGCTTGCACTTCCCTCGAGGTTCTCTGGCCAACCGCGCCTTTGGGATGATATGTTTCTCTCTCAGCTTAAACCAGAAACCTTTATGGGTCTCTTTCAGCCTTTCCAGTCGCAATACCCTCTAGTTGTCCTCCTTTTTTACTGAAACCTAAGAAGTGTGCAAGCTGCAGCAGGCGGGCAGGTGAGCGAGTGAGATTCATTGCTTAGCTTAGTGATTCATTGCCGCCGCCCAACATGCCAGCTGGCACACCTCTCCAGAGTTTCTGGCGCTTCTCCTGACTCTTGCATTGTCTTCTTGCGTCCACTCTCTCTGCGCTCTAGTGGTTGCTGGAACAGACAGGAGACAGTGGTCGTTTTCTTGACCTTACAGTGAGTGAGTTCAACAACGGTGCAGCCGACAGGTAATCTTGTTCACTACTTGACTGGACGGGCTGGGGCCTTCTCGTGTTCCTCTCTTTCTGTCGTTCCCTCTCTGCGCTCTAGTGGTCGCTGGAACAGACAGGAGACAGTGGTCGTTTTCTTGACCTTACAGTGAGTGAGTTCAACAACGGTGCAGCCGACAGGTAATCTTGTTCACTACTTGACTGGACGGGCTGGGGCCTTCTCGTGTTCCTCTCTTTCTGTCGTTCCCTCTCTGCGCTCTAGTGGTCGCTGGAACAGACAGGAGACAGTGGTCGTTTTCTTGACCTTACAGTGAGTGAGTTCAACAAGGGTGCAACCGACAGGTAATCTTGTTCACTACTTGACTGGGCGGGCTGGGGCCTTCTCGTGTTCCTCTCTTTCTGTCGTTCCCTCTCTGCGCTCTAGTGGTCGCTGGAACAGACAGGAGACAGTGGTCGTTTTCTTGACCTTACAGTGAGTGAGTTCAACAACGGTGCAGCCGACAGGTAATCTTGTTCACTACTTGACTGGACGGGCTGGGGCCTTCTCGTGTTCCTCTCTTTCTGTCGTTCCCTCTCTGCGCTCTAGTGGTCGCTGGAACAGACAGGAGACAGTGGTCGTTTTCTTGACCTTACAGTGAGTGAGTTCAACAACGGTGCAGCCGACAGGTAATCTTGTTCACTACTTGACTGGACGGGCTGGGGCCTTCTCGTGTTCCTCTCTTTCTGTCGTTCCCTCTCTGCGCTCTAGTGGTCGCTGGAACAGACAGGAGACAGTGGTCGTTTTCTTGACCTTACAGTGAGTGAGTTCAACAACGGTGCAGCCGACAGGTAATCTTGTTCACTACTTGACTGGACGGGCTGGGGCCTTCTCGTGTTCCTCTCTTTCTGTCGTTCCCTCTCTGCGCTCTAGTGGTCGCTGGAACAGACAGGAGACAGTGGTCGTTTTCTTGACCTTACAGTGAGTGAGTTCAACAACGGTGCAGCCGACAGGTAATCTTGTTCACTACTTGACTGGACGGGCTGGGGCCTTCTCGTGTTCCTCTCTTTCTGTCGTTCCCTCTCTGCGCTCTAGTGGTCGCTGGAACAGACAGGAGACAGTGGTCGTTTTCTTGACCTTACAGTGAGTGAGTTCAACAACGGTGCAGCCGACAGGTAATCTTGTTCACTACTTGACTGGACGGGCTGGGGCCTTCTCGTGTTCCTCTCTTTCTGTCGTTCCCTCTCTGCGCTCTAGTGGTCGCTGGAACAGACAGGAGACAGTGGTCGTTTTCTTGACCTTACAGTGAGTGAGTTCAACAAGGGTGCAACCGACAGGTAATCTTGTTCACTACTTGACTGGGCGGGCTGGGGCCTTCTCGTGTTCCTCTCTTTCTGTCGTTCCCTCTCTGCGCTCTAGTGGTCGCTGGAACAGACAGGAGACAGTGGTCGTTTTCTTGACCTTACAGTGAGTGAGTTCAACAACGGTGCAGCCGACAGGTAATCTTGTTCACTACTTGACTGGACGGGCTGGGGCCTTCTCGTGTTCCTCTCTTTCTGTCGTTCCCTCTCTGCGCTCTAGTGGTCGCTGGAACAGACAGGAGACAGTGGTCGTTTTCTTGACCTTACAGTGAGTGAGTTCAACAACGGTGCAGCCGACAGGTAATCTTGTTCACTACTTGACTGGACGGGCTGGGGCCTTCTCGTGTTCCTCTCTTTCTGTCGTTCCCTCTCTGCGCTCTAGTGGTCGCTGGAACAGACAGGAGACAGTGGTCGTTTTCTTGACCTTACAGTGAGTGAGTTCAACAACGGTGCAGCCGACAGGTAATCTTGTTCACTACTTGACTGGACGGGCTGGGGCCTTCTCGTGTTCCTCTCTTTCTGTCGTTCCCTCTCTGCGCTCTAGTGGTCGCTGGAACAGACAGGAGACAGTGGTCGTTTTCTTGACCTTACAGTGAGTGAGTTCAACAAGGGTGCAACCGACAGGTAATCTTGTTCACTACTTGACTGGGCGGGCTGGGGCCTTCTCGTGTTCCTCTCTTTCTGTCGTTCCCTCTCTGCGCTCTAGTGGTCGCTGGAACAGACAGGAGACAGTGGTCGTTTTCTTGACCTTACAGTGAGTGAGTTCAACAACGGTGCAGCCGACAGGTAATCTTGTTCACTACTTGACTGGACGGGCTGGGGCCTTCTCGTGTTCCTCTCTTTCTGTCGTTCCCTCTCTGCGCTCTAGTGGTCGCTGGAACAGACAGGAGACAGTGGTCGTTTTCTTGACCTTACAGTGAGTGAGTTCAACAACGGTGCAGCCGACAGGTAATCTTGTTCACTACTTGACTGGACGGGCTGGGGCCTTCTCGTGTTCCTCTCTTTCTGTCGTTCCCTCTCTGCGCTCTAGTGGTCGCTGGAACAGACAGGAGACAGTGGTCGTTTTCTTGACCTTACAGTGAGTGAGTTCAACAAGGGTGCAACCGACAGGTAATCTTGTTCACTACTTGACTGGGCGGGCTGGGGCCTTCTCGTGTTCCTCTCTTTCTGTCGTTCCCTCTCTGCGCTCTAGTGGTCGCTGGAACAGACAGGAGACAGTGGTCGTTTTCTTGACCTTACAGTGAGTGAGTTCAACAACGGTGCAGCCGACAGGTAATCTTGTTCACTACTTGACTGGACGGGCTGGGGCCTTCTCGTGTTCCTCTCTTTCTGTCGTTCACTCTCTCTACCCCCGAATAGTTTTTCTTTTACCCTGAGGAGGCAGCAGGCAGACAGGTGAGTGAGGATCGTTGGTTGGATTGGCACTGGTTGCGAATGTGGTGGGACTTTTGAGTCGACTCAAAAGCTACCCCCGAATAGTTTTTTCTTTTACCGTGAGGAGGCAACAGGCAGACAGGTGAGTGAGGATCGTTGGTTGGATTGGCACTGGTTGCGAATGTGGTGGGAGGGAATGGAGTGGAGTGGTTGACGGGATATGGATGCAGCACGGTGAGAAGGAGTGCAGCACGGTGAGAGGGAGTGGAGCACGGTGAGAGGGAGTGCAGCACGGTGAGAGGGAGGGCAGTGCGGTGAGAATCATTCTAAGATCAGATCATCCTACTTGCCGCCTCTGACGAGTCAGCAGTGTTGCCGCCCAACATGCCAGCTGGCACTCCTCATCAATTTTCACACCTCTTGCCGCCTCTGAATCTCCTCTCTTCTTAATATCCATCAACCGCCATCTTGGTCTATGTCTCTTAGGGTGCCGCTACCATTAGGGTCTCCTATGTCTCTTGTAGGCATAAGCTTTTCTTGCTCTCGCACTCTTCCTGAATCCTTGAGTGTTTTGAGTCTACTCAAAAGTCAACTCGCTACCATTAGGGTCTCTTGTACGCATAAGGTTTTCTTGCTCTTGGACTCGCACTCCTTCTGAATCCTTGAGTGCTCCTTATGTGACGTCATTAAGAGGGTACACAGTACACTCAAGTTATGCCCCCGGCAAGTCTTTAGTTTTGGAGCGTTCAACTTCATCCCCTCCTGCTACTTTCGAGGTAAAAAAATGGGATTGGCATTCTAAAGACTCTCAAGACCCCGTATTTGTGACTTTTGAGTCGACTCAAAAGTCACCTGATTAGCATATCTCGTGCATGTGGAGTAGAGTCCTACTAGTAGTGCTGGTCGTTTAGGACTTACTAGTAGGAGTTGCATGCAAAAGACCCGAACGATGCAGAACCCGACTCTGTTTGACCACCGAGTTTTGAAACGCTCTCAAAACTGGATTATCAGGCAGCAGTGTTGAGATGTAAATCCATGGCACCGCATGGGCTGTGGCATATTTGAGTAACTTTTTGAGAATTCTCAAATCCGGGCCGGGGTCGGTGGTAAATGCCAGGGAAAGCGCTTGAAGCAAGCTGCTTTTGAGTCGACAAAAAACCAGAATCCGGGCACGGGTGGGTGCTAAATGCCAGGAGAAGCGCTTGAAGCAAGCTGTTGGCTTTTGAGTCGACTCACAACCAGAATCCGGGCCCGGGTGAATGGTAATCTGGTAAATGCCAGGAGAAGCGCTTGAAGCAAGGTGTTGGCTTTTGAGAGACGTCTCAAAACTCGGGAAAGCAGCAGTGATGTTGGAGAGGTTTGGCCTCAAAAGCTCTTTCTACTGCTGGCTGTATGCTGTGCTAAACTGATCTCCACTTTTCCTTCCCTCCGTTCCTTTCTCCCCTTACACTCCTTCCCCTCCCCACCCCACCCCACCATCTCTTGCCTTTTACAGGAAGCAGCTATTCTGGGATGCCCTACCAGGGGGTTAGTGGAGGGTACATGGACTATGGCTCGCAACTGAACCAGGTAACGTGTTTAGCCTAGTGGTTTAGTCATGCAGTCAGTCAAGTACCGGTCGTTACCGCAGCCTTTGCCTATGCTGTGATGCCCTACCAGGGGATTAGCGGAGGGTACATGGACTATGGGTCGCAACTGAACCAGGTAACGTGTTTAGCCTAGTGGTCTAGCCATTCAGTCAAGTAGTGGTCGTTACCGCAGCCTTCGCTGTTCTGGAATGCCCCACCGCGGGGTCAGTGGAGTGGAGGGTTCATAGACTACAGTGGAGGGTCCCTAAACCCTAACTGAACCATGTAATGCATCTAGTCATTCAGTCATTCAGTCACCCCCCTATCCCAATGCCCTGTTGTTTGACCTGACTCAAGATATCATTTCTCCCTGACCACCCCTACCCCCTCCCCTCCCCTCCCCTTCTCTTCCCCTCCGCTCCCCCACCAACATTTTTCAATCTACAGCAGCCCAATTGCAATTCCGCAATGGCAATGCCTTGTTTCTTGACCTGACTCAAGATATAATTCCCCCCTGACCACCCCTACCCCTACCCCCTCCCTTTCCCCCCTTCCCCTCTCCCCCCCACCAGCAGTTTTCAAGCTACAGCAGCCCAATGTCACCCCCCAATCCCGATGCCTCACTCTTGTCCCTCACTCAATCTTTGTTTTCCTTGCCAAACCCCCCACCCCCTCCCCCCCACCAGCAGTTTTCAACCTACAGCAGCCCGATGTCTCCCCCAATCCCAATGCCTACCCTCCCCCCGCTCTTCCCCCCCCCTCTGCCCCCCCCACCAGCAGTTTTCAACCTACAGCAGCCCGATGTCCCCCCCCAATCCCAATGCCTACCCTCCCCCCGCTCTCCCCCCCCTCTGCCCCCCCCACCAGCAGTTTTCAACCTACAGCAGCCCGATGTCCCCCCCCAATCCCAATGCCTCGGTGGGAGCAGGAGCAGCAGCAGGAGGCGGGATGGGAATGACCGGGGGAATGGGAGGGGCAATGGGTGGGGGAATGGGTGGTGGAATGGGCGGCGGGATGGGTGGCGGACTGGGCGGAGGCATGGGCGGCGGCATGACCACTCCGTACGGAATTCGCCCACCGGTGCCGCCCACCCCATACGGCTCATCCCCTGGCTCGGGGAAGGGCGGGTCTGGGGAGATGCGAAACCAGCCGCGATCGGGGTATTGATGAGAACACCCTGAATTGAAGAGGAGTATAATGGAAAGTTCTGGGTTGATTACCCTGAACGGAAGGCTTTGGATGGAAGATCCTGAAAGGAGGGCCTTGTTGAAAGGAAGATTCGAAGGGAAGAGATCTGAAGGGGAGATCTGAAGGGGAGATCTGAAGGGGAGATCTGAAGGGGAGATCTGAAGGGGAGATCTGAAGGGGAGATCCGAAGGGGAGATCCGAAGGGGAGAGCTGAAGGGGAGATCCGAAGGGGAGATCCGAAGGGGAGATCCGAAGGGGAGATCTGAAGGGGAGATCCGAAGGGGAGATCTGAAGGGGAGATCTGAAGGGGAGATCCGAAGGGGAGATCCGAAGGGGAGATCCGAAGGGGAGATCCGAAGGGGAGATCTGAAGGGGAGATCTGAAGGGGAGATCCGAAGGGGAGATCTGAAGGGGAGATCTGAAGGGGAGATCCGAAGGGGAGATTTGAAGGGGAGATTTGAAGGGGAGATCCGAAGGGGAGATTTGAAGGGGAGATCTGAAGGGGAGATCTGAAGGGGAGATTTGAAGGGGAGATCCTGCTTGAAAGGTTTCTGGAACAAGGCCCTTACCATATGGAATATGCAATAGTCCCCTCCCCCTCCGTGGCATGGATTGAGCGTCGAGACGATATCTGTTCTCAGCAAAGGTGCATGTGCTTGGGACATGGAGGAATTGGGTGCCATAAGGGGCCTGCCTGCCCGTTTGTGGCTGTAGTGTTAGGTGACAGCTCAAGGGCCCCTAACCTCCTCACTATTTGCTCAATGATGTGCGATTAACATTGGTAGTAGTGTGATTTTTTGTTGTGTTGTGATGATATATGTTGACAAATGTAGAACTCAATAGAATCAATCCTCGAATCATGTATGCTACACCATGAGTACCAGTAATAGATGAGTCAATATGTCCAGCTGTGACTATGAAAGTGATTTCTGCATAAAAGGTTAGTGTTCTCACCGTCATCTTTTAACGGTCCCGAGTTGTTCACAAACGAAATCGGAAAATCAGCACCAAACACATCCATATTGCACACTTCGAGTCGCATTTCTCTAATTTCGTGCGAGGTGCACACAGAGACCGTCGGCGAGGGATTGGATTCGTGGCACGACAAATATTCGCGCGCGTGCGTTTCACATATGTCACGCCTACTGCCTGCTTTCGCACCCAACTTTCCCCAGCCACTATCGCGCAAGTGCATGCACACACAGCTCAGCTTCCCCTTTTCAGCTTTTCTGTATGTGACGTGATGTGGCTCAGCAGCACGGCAACAGACGCGCCAAAACCGCCGCGGCGACTCCATTCCACCACTCGGAAAAAAATACAGTATGCTCTTCAAAGCGGGCGGCTTCGCGCAGTCAGGCTGCTATTCATATTGGTGCGAGTTCCCACCCCTTGAAGAGAGCTCGAGAGTCAGCATTTCGTCTGCGTAAATTTAGTACATTCACTCGCTTCCCATCGGGTGCATTTTACTTATTATCGTTTTACGTGATCAAACTCCTCATACTTAGAAAACATGGACGTGTCAAGAAGGTACTCTCTCCTAATCTCTCTCTGCCTTCTCTCGTTTGCGTTAGTGGCTTCCGCGCAATACAACAAGTGGGTTAAAGGCTTCACAGCTACCTACTACGCCAATCAGAACAGCCAGTACGGCTCGTGCGGATACGGTATCGCGCCAGGCTATACCGCGTCAATTTCCGCACCAATCTACGCGCGAGGCCAAGCTTGTGGCGCGTGCATACGAGTGCGCTGCGTCAACAGCCCGCAATGCATACCTGGAACGGTCTCTCCCACCGTTAAAATCACAAACCTCTGCCCCGCGGCGTCGTATGGCGGGTGGTGCGACGGCGGGAAGCTAAGTGTGACTTTATCAAGCGACGTGTGGGCGCAAATCGCGCGGAATCCGTCAGTGGGGGTGGTACCGGTGGAGGTGTCGCGCGTTCGATGTCCGACCGGCGGTGGCGTTATGTTCAACGTCACCGGCGATGGGTTTTATATCTCAGGTACGAGTGTAGTGAGTCGTCATTGTTACAATTGATGGGTAATGTACGACTCAGAGTGTAACCTTCGATGTCCGAGCGGTGGTGGCGTTATGTTCAACGTTGCCGGCGATGGGTTTTATATCTCAGGTACGAATATGATGATGCGGCGCTGATCCCTGGTTACTACATTTCAGTTACGAATATGGGACGATAATGTAGCGTGAAAGTTCAGCGTTCCCTTATTCCTTATTGTGGCAACAATTAATGCGTCTCATGCATGAACGTGAGATGGAATGGTTGCCCCCCCTTCCCCAGCTCTTCCTTGAAAGGGTACATTTTGCTGAGCCCCCCTATTTCCTCCCCTTTACCGCCCACAGTTCATTTTCCCCCTGCATTCCAGCTCCCGGATCCTTTCCCCTTTCTCCCCTGAACATCCCCCCCTCCGCCAGCTCTTCCGCACTCTTGGGCGGGTCTCGTACTTCTCCTCTCTCCTCACACTCATGTATGCACGCTCCTTCTTCCCCCGGTGCTTTCCCCTTCCGCCAGTTCTTCCGCTCAATGTGGGCGGATCGGGGGACATCAAGCGGATGGATCTGTCGGTTGGCGGAGGGCCGTGGTTCATGATGAAGCGAAGCTTCGGCACGGTGTTTGAACTTGTCGGCCAACCGTTAACCGGCAAACCGCTGTCTTTTCGCATCTGGCCTCGCGCGGAACCGAAACCCGTTATAGTGCGAAATGCGATTCCCCCGTATTGGACGGCGAGTAACGTATACCGGACTAAAATCAACTTGTAAAATGAGGACGCTGACGTGGCAGCATGTTACTAGGAAAACTATTTAGGCCTCAATGCAGCTGCAGCAGCTTATTGTATAATCTGCTAACGTATGGTGATGCTTTACGATGATTTGCTTAGGACCCTTTCTGGGAGGGGAGTGACGTTTCCAACATGAAGCGGTGTAGGCATCTGTCAATAATAGCATGTAGCATATAATTCCACGATTGATAAGCTGGTGATTGACAGCCATATTACTTGGGAGCATGGTGTGTGCTAAACCGTAAACACTTAGCTTCAAGTGGCCGAGACTATGAGGCATGAGCAACATCCCATCCCATCGTTCCCCAGAGGCTGCTTGCATGAAATGGGCACAGGGCTCGAATTTCCAAGCCACCGACCTGAAACACCATCGTCTCGTTGCTCGGAGTCCACAAGTGCTTGCATGCGATGGGCTTAGTTTCGAGCTGGGGGTGAAAAGGATAATTGGGTATGTAGCTCGCTCCTCCCAAGAAAGATATGACTTCGAGTCCAAACTTGCATTCTACAAACAGTGATAATTCTTGCAAAGGAAATCGACTAAACAAATTACAATGCAAGGAATGAGTTGCTAGGGTGCTCGGGATCGTACCCTAGGATCTCCGGGCACCACAGCAACTCTTCCTGTTGCCCTAGAAGCAGAGGAATCAGTCTAAACCAAAGAAAGAGGGTCGGTTCCCGACTACTCATCTATTAGCGAAGATGCTTAGAGAACTTCGATGGGGATACACGACGCCCCCCTCTGGCGCGTGAGAGGGGAGAAGGCCTTCATGACGCGGTTCAGAACGGTGCGCGGAGATAGCTTTCCGCCCCGGCGCGGCTTCTCCCCGTTGCTCTCACAGTCACTGTCGGTGCTGTTGGTTGCACTCGCCAAAGGCATGCTTCCCCCCGTGTCGGATCGCTTTGTATCGCGGACGTGGGTGGTGGCGTGTGTCTTGGCGGCACTGGCTTTGGAGGATTCAGACGCGAATAACGCGGCGCTGGTAGCGGTGCTTTCGGAATCGGCTTCGGCAATTCCCGAGGAGATATGAGCGTCGGTTCGCGAAACAACAGCAGTCGTTCGTTTCTCCGATAGATCGACGGACTCCATCGCTTCCTGAGCCGCTGCTGCTACTGTCGGACGTACCCACGGATGCGCCAGAACCTCGTCAATTGTGAACCGTTCGTTCACATCCACGCGCAGCATCCGACGGATGAGATCTTTCGCGTCGCCCGACACCTTCTTCCAGTCGTTCGATGCGAAATCCACCTTCTCGTCAAGTACCCGCTTCCCGCCCCTAAATAGCGGCCACTTTCCCGAAAGCATCGCGTAGAGAGTCACGCCGAGGCTCCAGATATCAGCCGACTCGTCGTACGCAACTCCCGCCATAACCTCCGGCGCCTCATACGGCTTGCTGCCGGCATACCCGCGAATCTGCTGCCACCACGGCACGTCCACAGCTAGCCCGAAATCTGCGAGTTTCGCGGTGTAAGCGAACGACGCGCCGTCATTGGCAGCGTCAGCGGCGGTGGCGGCGTTGACTTTCGAAATCGGGCAGAGGAGAATGTTTTCGGGTTTGATGTCGCGGTGGACGATGTTGCTAGCGTGGCACTGCTTCACGGCGCGCGCTACAGACGTGAATACGTGGCGCGACTCCGCCTCGCTAAGAAACGCCCCGGGCTGCTTCTGGATGAGCTCGAGAAGATCCCCGCCAGTGCACAGCTCCATTACAAGATAAAGTGAATCCTTGTCCCCGTACACGTCCTTGAGCGTTACGACACTATCGGAGAAGCCAGAATCGCGGATCTTTTGGAGGATTTCAACTTCGCCGAGAGCTGCGAGGCGGGCCCTGCTGCTGCACTTGGTGAGGTCGATGTACTTGAGCGCGAAATGCTCGCCCGTCGCGCGCTTCTCACAACGCCACACTGTACCGTACTGACCCTCGCCTAGAAACTCCTTGAGCGTGTATCTGCTAGAGAGCTCGCTGGATGGTGTAAGCTCGATCTTCGACTTGCTAGCCATACTCCTTCTAGGTTCTACTGCGGAAACTGCGGTGCTAGCTATAAGAACTTCGAGTTGAACGTAAGAAAGATAGTCAGGTCGTTGGAGAAAGAAGTCAAGGTGATTATGCTAAATTTCGAATGAGGCAGGCTGGAAATAATTTTGAATGGTCTTGAGCTTGAATAGGTAGACGGAAGTATCGTTGAATGCTGGTTGCTGGTTCAGAGAAATGTTTGGATTGAGTGAGTTCGATGGTCGGTTATGAGGAGAGGGCGCCGAATATGTACCGCGTTCTTGAGCAGCTGGCTTCTCTGTTCCCCCACCCCAAGCCACCGTCCATACCGCGACTCGATAGCTTCGGAGGAAGGAACCTACAGATGGCGGTGATTGGAGAGAGATGGCTTGGAAATGTGTACAAAATGACAATCGCGACTCGAGATTCTCCGCTTCTTGCTGTGCTGTGCTGCTTCCTTCTCGCTGTGTGTGACGTTTCGAGCCGCGTTTGTCTCATTGTGTTTGTCGCTTTGCTATCAGCCATGAAATAACTCGCCAGAACTGTGCGAAGTCATCCAAAATTGCGGAGTGTACTGCATCGCGTTATTTTTAAATAATTTTCTCAGGTACATACAAACAATAAACGGGTTTACACAAGCGGTTGTCTGCTTCCAGCCCCTGTCTAGGGGAACCACAAAGCCCCAAAACACGTCTCCGCGACCTAACACAGGGTTCCACCAGCCTGCACCTTCATCCTCGATATAACAAACCCTTTCGTCTTTCGGTGTGACTGTTCTTGTGTACACATCTAACGAATATTGTACACACCACTCCGCTCGTTTCTCCTCCTCTCTGCAGCTAACTCCTCTGCAAGAAGCTCTTTAGGGTTTCTCCCTCATACTCAGCCTCCTTTTCCCAACCCTTAGTGGCAACGTCCTTAGTTCGTCCTACTTCCCTTTTCCGCGGCCACCATGACTGGAATCGCAGTAGGCCTCAACAAGGGTCACATCGTGACCAAGAGGGAGATCTCGAAGCCCAAGACACGGGCGGTAGGTTTATCTCAGCAGCTCCAATCTTGTGTTTCGGGAGACGATTTTCAGCAATTCCGCTAAGTTTTTCGAACGTTGTAGCACGTTGGACGGACATGGGGTTTATTTTACAGCTGAAGGCCGCACGCCGAACGGATCTCCTAGTGCTGCTGGCAGTACGTCGGACCGTAATCGTATTGGTGTCTTCCCCTTGTTTCGCGCGGGTTTTGTTTGCAGTCGAAGCGCGGAACGTTCGTCCGCGGTCTGATTCGCGAGGTCGCGGGCTTCTCTCCCTATGAGAAGCGGATCATGGAGCTGCTCAAGGTATGGCTATATTGATAACTTATTACCCTGAACATTTAGTATCAGGTGTTTTTGCACCTGAGCAGCGTTGTTGTACCACTGCAGCTTGGGTATTTCTGTATCCATTTGAATCCTTTTGAACTTGGGGTCCGATTCGGCAGTGTAGCCGTCGGCAGTAGCTCGGGAACCGGATTGGCTGTCGGAGGAGCGGTGTATTGCGGACTCAGGAGCGGTTGAATTAGGTGTCTGGAGTAGTGTATCAACGGAGCGTAAACCGGTGACGCGATTTGACGCAGCTGTCGCGGCGATCTCAGGTTTCGTGGACTCTCTTTCTGCGGTCATGTCTCTCAGTTTCCGGGATCGTCGTCGGCACCTGGATTGATGATAAGTTTCGCTGCAGGAGTTCGTGGAAAACGTAGGCCCGACTCGTTAGGTTTAGTTGGTGATAAGCCGAAGCCGAATCACTGCGAAGTCGTTAGTTTCAGGCGGCCAAGCAGGCATGTGTAAATTCAGGGAAGCCGGAAGCCGGAAGGCATGTGTAATGACGGAAGCCGGACTATCTACACCTCGTGCAGTTTGGCGGTCTGAAAGCCGTTCTTTGCGTAGCCTAATCAGTCGAACGTGCCCGATAGACTTCTTTCTCTGAAACCACTTTGTTACCAGGCACCGTCCTCCTGTAGGAGCCGTCCAGACATCCATTCGGGCGTAATTTCTTTCCGAATCTATTACTTCTCGTCGCCTCCTCGTCGCCCAACGTCGCCGAGAATCGTTTTTCGCCGTTCAGCGTCGCTTGGTCGATCATACCACTTGGGTTCCGAGGGTGTAGTGCAAGCGCAACCGGGGCAATCCTCATCTCTGGTTGCGAGTCACATTTCCTGTGATTCCGCGTTCCCTCCTGCTCTCCGCGCAGTCACTCGTCTTACCCGTGCTTTTTCCACTAGTCAGAAAGCACAATTGCGCCGATATTCATTCTAGCGGAGCCTGGCCGCCCGTCAAGTTGTCCCCCGTATACCTTTTTTTTTTACCCGTGTATGCCCCTTCGTCTTCTTCCCCCTCACCCAACCTTCCCCTATCACTCTTCTCGTTCCTCCGCCGACTCCCTCTCCTTCCCACTCCCTCCGCTCCCTCTCCGTACCCCTCCCCTCCTCCACTCTCTCCCCCCCCACCCCCCTCCTCCCCGTCCCCTCTTCCTCCCCCCCTCTTCCTCCCCCCCTCCCACTCCGCCCCTTCCCCTCTTTCCTCTCTCCCCTCCCCCCCCCCCCCCCCCCCCCTCCTACGCCCACTTCCCCTCCCCCTTCCCGCCGCGCTCCCCCCCAACACAGGTTGGCAAGGACAAGCGCGCACTGAAGCTGGCGAAGCGGAAGCTGGTCACCCACCGCCGCGCCTAGGTGACTCTTGAGTCGATTAAAAAACGCGTTCCCTGCGCTCACTCCCCTTCCCCGCCCCCACCCCCCACCCCGTGCTCCCCCCCAACACAGGTCGGCAAGGACAAGCGCGCGCTGAAGCTGGCGAAGCGGAAGCTGGGCACCCACCGCCGCGCCAAGGTGAAGCGCGAGGAGATGCAGACTGCTCTCCGCAAGATGAGGTGAGACTTGTCAATGTAGGCGTGACTGTAACGAGAGTTAGTGCATAAATTGAGGCTGGGCACCCACGACTGCACCAAGGCGAAGAGATAGCCACTGCTCAACACAGGATGAGGTGAGGAGGTTGCTTGTAACGAATGTGTTTATAACGAAGCACATGCTTGCAGTAGGCCGCAGATCTCGCACCAAGGCCCAGCTTAAAAGATGGCCTCATGATCATGCAATTTGCATCCGTCGTTGTCTACAGTTGTGGTCTGTTTCCCTCAATGTTTCTATATGCATGTATGCATTGCTGTGTTGCCCTATGGTTCTTTCAGGTCCGCTCCCAAGTAAAAACGTTGAAGTTGATTCCCCTAATGTCAAATGGAAGCCGCCTTGATACAAGCAGCACCAAGGTCCTGTTGCATGAAAGCCTGCTCCCTCAGCTGCATTGCGCTGCCATCTTTGTCCCTAGGTCACCTTATCAACCAAGTGTACATGTATCTTGGGTGTTTGTGCCTGGCTAAATGCAAATTCGCCTATTCATTATGGTGGTAAGCATAGAGACTAGGTGGTGATGCCAAGGAGCCGGCTGGAAGCAGTGCCTCATCTGGGAATTTCTAAAATTGTTCTAGCCATACCGTAGCTGTGTTTAGAAGGACGGCATTGGATTAGGAAACAATTCACAGCAACGAAAAGCGAACACATTTTAGGCGGTTCGGTAATTTCCGTGCTTTGCCCTACTGAACCGCGTTGAGGTGCAGCACACCGATCGTCACCATGACACGTGATCGAATATTGTCCCCGCAAGGGACTCGCGCCTAGTCCAGTGAATCGTGTCGGAATCGAAATCTCCACCGTCCACGTCCACCATTTGGGGGACAGCGCAGCACAACGGACCGCGGAAGCGAAGGCGAGGAGATGCTTCGCCATACGCGATATTGCAGAGATATCGATATTTTAATATATTTTCTAGGGCTAGCAGCGCTTGTACAGAAGTAAAACCATATCACGTACCTCTTAGCCTGCACAAATCCATCCCAAGCATCAGCAAAAGGACCCGCACTCGTACCAGAACTAGCCACAAAGGGATATTAGAGGAGTTCCCGTTGTTTGCATGGGACCTCAGCTGCGAACGTGCTAGTCGTAGATTCGTCATCTGTCCACCAGCCCATACGAGCTCCCTCATCTCTCATTTCGTTTCATCCCGGCCGCCGCCTTCGCGATTCTTCGCCGATCCTCCTCCATTTCGCCGATCGCCGCCACCGTCCGTCCTCCATTTGCCGCTACCAGTGCTGCTGGCAGCCCGACGGTTTCGACAGCTCGACGAGTTCTGACTGCTGACGTGTCAGACGATTGGAGATATTCTGAAAAGCGGCACGTGTGCATTCGTATTGTCCCAGAACTCCCCCCCCCCCCTCCCCCCCCCCCCCCCCCCCCCCCTCCCCCCTCTTCTCGTGTTCGCCCATTCCTCAAGTCCACGTGGGAAGCACGTGTCAACCACGTGCCACAAGATGAATATCGTGCGTAACCGTATCGCGCGACTCGGATCCGCGTCGCTTCAGTCCACGTCAGAGCCAGCTCTCCACGCCCGTC